ACCTCTTTGATAGAGCATGATATTCAGTTATCAAGTGAAGAACCGATCTCTAGCAAGGCTTACCGCGTATCGCCAAGGCAAAGGGAAATCATGGAAGCCAAGATCCACCGCATGTGTGACTTGGGGGTCATCATTCCAGGTGAAAGCGATTACATATCCCCGCTCATACTAGTCGAGGTTCCGGGAAAAGACCCTACGCCATGCGTGGACTACCACCGACTAAATAGGATCACATTAAATCAGACGTATCCGATACCTAATATCAAGGAGAGAGTAGAAACCGTGGCAAAATTCACATATATCTCCCTCTTAGATCTGGTACGGGGATACTGGCAGGTCCCGTTGACGGAGCGAGCCTCTCGTTATGCCGCATTCATTTCCCTATTGGGAACATTTCGCCCTTTAATGCTTGCTTTCGGCTCAAAGAATGCTCCCTATTGCTTCTCAAACCACATGAATCGGGTGTTGCGAGGTTTAGGAGATTTCACTCTCCCGTATCTCGGTGATGTGGCGATCTTCTCTGATACGTGGGTCGAGCATGTGACTCACTTGAGGACCGTTCTGGCTCGACTACGTGATGCAGGCCTCACCGTGAGCGTGCAGAAATGCCACTTAGGGTGCGCAAGCATAAGTTATCTCGGTCACGTCGTGGGTTGTGGCCAGCGTAGCCCGTCCGAGCTTGAAGTTGCGGCCGTTTAAGAGTATCGTCGTCCCAGCACAAAGTCGGAATTGAGGGCGTTCTTGGGACTGGCGGGGTATTATCAACACTACGTCAAAGATCACTCAAACCTTGCTAGTCCGCTGACGGACTCTCTCTGCAAAACCGAGCTCACTGTCATTTCGTGGGACACAAGAAAAGAGAATGCTTTCAAGAGCGTGAAGAGCGCTCTCGCAAAACGACCCGTGCTAGCGGCCCCGGACTTTTCTCAGAGTTTTATTATTCAGTGTGATGCCAGTGACCGCGGCCTAGGAGCAGTTTTGTGCCAAAAGGACGCCGAAGGGCACGAGCGGCCAGTTTTGTATCTCAGCAGAAAGCTCAGTGTCAGAGAGGAAACTTACAGCACTTCAGAAAAAGAGTGCGCCTGCCTTGTTTGGGCAATTGGTAAGCTAGCATGTTATGTCTCAGGGTGGAGCTTCATAGTAGAAACTGATCACTTCCTCTTGACTTGGTTGCACAACATGTCGTCTAAAAGCGGTCACTTACTTAGGTGGAGCTTGACGCTTCAGCACCATAACTTTAGTGTGCGCTATAAGAAAGGGAAGCTGCACACAAATGCAGATGGTCACAGCAGAGCTTATTGAAGTGCAGCCCAACTCCCTCATACAAGTTGAGGCACATCCTTCTGGTGTGACGTGTTTTGCATACTTTTTGTGTCTCTTCTTTCGTTTTGCTTTAAACTGTATCAACAATGTCGCATTGCACTAACAGATGTATTTTTGTTTGAAGTGTACTCTGATATGTTAGCAGGAAGGCCAGCCTCTACCATTCTGGTAAAATTGTTAAAAAAAAATCGCACAGAATTGTTTTTTGGCTGCTTCAGCGGGCTCCGACCTATTCGTATGGCATTGAGGATAGTTTCGCGCGGCCTTTCTTGACATCGGGACTGTGCAGTGTAATCACAGCATTCGTGAGAGCCAGTGTTTTGAGGTCTCTAAGGGATACGCTTCCCGTGCTAAAACGTACAATAGTAGAGAGTCAATATATCTCTTTGCTGCCTTGGTCTGGCGCTATGAGAGACGTTCAGAGGGTACTTGCTTCCATGAAAGCGGTTTGGCTTTGTGTTCAACTCCGTCGTTTCAGTGATTCCCTGCAGGGCTCTGAAGATCACCCCGGAGTGGCTACAGTATCGACGGTCAACCCGCATCCCTCCTTCCGAGCCGCCCTAGACGGCTCAAAACTCCGGATGCATTGTCTGGTGGCAGGGGTGCTGCTGTGCCACAGACATTTTCCTCGTTTGAGAGCACGTCTCACGAGATCGAGCGCTGTTCCGACGAACTGTCTCCCCCCTCCCAGCACCGCCTTCTGTGCAGAAGAACCGTGCAGTTCTGGGGATAACGTCGCTTCCTCCGTCGAACCACCTTGCAGTTCCGGGTATGGCTGTGTCTCCTCCTCCGAGCCCGAGAACTGGTCTGAGAGAATGGACCACAGACGTTATTTAAGGCCGTGTCAGCCCCATGTTTGAGAGGATTTGCCCCAGCTGATGTTGTCGTGCTGGCCGGCTCTGTAAAAAAACGACAACCTGCTACAGTAAATGCTCCTTCTTGTTGCTGTTTTCAAAACGGATTGCCTCCCTGCTTCGCCTTCGGGCAAAGGCTTCAGCGAAGTCCGCTCGACGGCTCGCCGCTCTTTGCCACCGCTACCTTCGCGACACAGCGAATTCCTAACAGCCCCTAGCCAAGCCAGTCTGAGAGCACTTTGGCGACGTTATCCACGAATGTAGCTTGTTGACGCCATTTTGTCGTTGTGTTCCTGTGCTTGACTGCTCTGTCTATTTGCTCATTTCAACGTAATGGCCTCCAGAAAGCGGAAGCAAATTTCGCTGAATGACAAGCTGAAGATAGTGAACGCTGTTGCGCGCGGTGAGATACAGGCGAACATCGCAAGAACAGTGAGATTGTCTAAGCAGAACGTGACTTCAATTGTGAATAATAAGAAAATTGCTGGCAAGCAAGTGTTGGGGGAAATTAATTCTAAGCGCTTCAGGCTCCGCGAGGCGACGTACCCAGACATTAAGTACGTACTACTCGTGTGGCCGCCTGATGCTCGATATCGCGATATTACGGTGAATGAATTCTTACTGAGGAAGTGGGCCTAACAGCTAGCTGTGATCCTCGGACACGACGGCGTCACTTTCAGCAACGGATGGCTGAAGCACTTCAAGGTAAGGCACGGTGTCACATTCATGCAAGTTTGTGGTGAACACAACAGCATGAGTATCGATGCCGTCACTGAGTGGCAAATCAATGAGCTACCAGCGCTTCTTGCTAGATACAGTGAGAAGGACGTATTTAATGCAGATTAAAGTGATTTATTTTATGAGGCCAAGCCGATTAGGGCCTACACGGTTTCCGGCAGTCACTGTCATGGCGGTAAACGCTCAAAGCAGCGTTTGTCCGTGTTATTTCATTAAAGAATATATATATTTTAGTCCATATTTTGTGCTCCCCAACCCACCCGAGCCAGCTCGCCGACGCAGACACAAAGAGACTGGATCTCTGGATACTTTGAACGAGCGCGTGCCTCATCGAGCAGGCAAGCATAGTTGACCGGGCTGCAAGTGCAAAGTTCCTTCTTCCAAGGACTCCCTTGAACTAGGGTCACAAGAATACCATACCTGAACACTCAAAGCTGTTGATGGGTCGCTGGAGCTGCTCGAGCGTTTCCCAACCTCTAGCGCCCCATCTCTACCACCATGAGAATGTATGCTCACATCATGATATGGACAACTTTCTGCATTGGAGCCATGCGAGGGCCTGTTGTGCCAGCTGTTCTCTTTGTTCTCTGCGCCCGTGCTACAACGCATGATTGCTTGATTTCGTAAGTATATCTGTCACAGTTTTACTGTTATTCGATAATGGGTTAGAATAATTACATATTTGTGAAACTATAGCTCACTGGTATAAAGATTGCCGAGAAAAACGGGAAGAGTTGCTGCCACCAAACACATCAGCGTGGACTTCTTCATTGTGCGACGATCGATGCGATTGGTACAGGAGAAAGTAGAAGAGTGTGTGCTTGCTAATACAAGTTTCCTGCCATTAAAGGGACCATGAAAGAGTTTTGGCGACTTTGTAAAAACACATTGGGCCGGTAGGCCAAGTTGTAATGGTCATTTAGAGACTGATTTGAGCTTTCTGCATAAATTGTGTAATTTATTACAATGCTTTAAAGCTACGAATTGGTGCAGATCGCTGCGACTCTGCCAAACACGTCTTCAACTGCCCATTCACAGAGTGATATACTCTGGCGATTTCACGTTGCCGTGGCTGCTGATGTAGCCAGATGTCATGGCTGTAGAGTGCACGGAAGTAAGATCGGCTAGTAGGGTGGCAGCACCTGTCAGAGCTGATATGATCCACTTTGCGATTTTAGTCTCTGCTGTCAGATGGCGTGCGTGCTACTGGGCACACTGTGTGATGACTTCAGAGACTGCATGCAATCTGTCAGCGTGCGATCTCGGAGGTCTAGACTGGTAAAAGCTCAAATCGTCGAGCTCGCTCATGAGAGCTCTGCAATCGCCAGCGATGCCAGTGTGCCTCATGAGTTGAGGAGGCCAGGCAGAAGTGGGAAGGAGGATATGAAAGTATAATTGTCCATAGTGGTCTTGGCACACGGTGTGTCACTAAATTTGTGGTGCCAAAAATTTTATAATGCTCTAGCCTAAACGGTGACTAAACTTCAAAAAAAACGTTTCAGGGCCTTTTAAAGAAGGCCTTTTCAAGTATGTGCGAACGCTTAGGTCCTCCGATATCGTGGTGTTATGGGGCCTAGTTTCTTCAAGCATTGTCAAGAAGTGTTTAAAAAAAATCAAGCATTTGAACGCACTTGACCGAATCGAGTACGATGCCCTTTGGGAGGGTAGTGGCGGTGGCTTAAACAATGATTTGCACTTGGACCTCTCGATCAGGAATTCTGACTGGACCATGTATGACCACATCTGACTGATTAAAGTACGTACCAATTCTGTTTAATAAACAAGGGTACTTTGCTTGTGCTGCCATTCATTTTCTTTCTTTTTTTTTAAATGTATATACTGCATGTGTTAAGGCTATTGCACATTATTATATATGCGTTCGAGAAATACCCATGAAATTTGTGCAGCCCCTTTTCGAAGCCCCAAAATTGCAACAAAAAAAGTGCACAAATTATGTGAATAAATACGATACATGCTGTCCTAATGCATAACTTAAGAAATCGCCTTGTTCTTTGTATTGAATTTGACCGGAAGAGTTTGAAAATGTATTTTAGAACTCCATATGAAAATGGCTTGTGGCCTCACCGGTGACAACGAGAATTGTTGGAACTTCAAGTGTAGTACGCTCGCTTTTAGCCGTGCAGATGTAGGTGCCTGCATCACTGGCACGCACATCTGGTACGACCAATGTGCTGTCACGAGGCAGAGCCTTGTGAGGAATGTCCCCGTTGTCACGCATCCAGCTGTAGGCCACAGGAGGCTCCAAGTTGTGCCGGCAGTCCAAGACGACAGTTGATCCATAAGGAATAGTCCTTGTCTCCACTTCATTGGGCGGTACCGTTGGAGTTTCTGCAGATCGACCAGAGTGAAAACATAAAAGATGGCTTAATATATGTGCAAAATTCGGAAACAATACACAATGCTAATGCACTGAAGGACAATGGGCATGTAGTCAAAAGGCCGAAAAATAACTTCAAGGTACAAAGATGCCAAATAATACGCCCTGCACAGCTGTTATACCTTTTATCAATCAGAAGAGTTTTGCCAAAACATTAGCTCTTGAATGAAATATATTTTATTTGCTGGCTGTTAACTCTTTCGTTACCATGCAAAAATGGTTATTTTTCATATGTCTCGGGAAGATCGTTTTTGCCAGTTTATTATGTACAGGATTTAATGTCCCAAAACCACCATATGGTTATACGAGATGCCGTAGTGGAGGGCTCCAGAAATTTTGATCACCTGGTGTTCTTTAACGTGCACCCAAATCTGAGAACCCGGGCATACAGCGTTTTCGCCTCCATCGAAAATGCAGCCGCCGTAGCCAGGATTCGATCTCGCGACCTTGGGGTCAGCAGCAGAGTACCTTAGCCACTAGATTATCATGGCGGGGCGTTTTTGCCAGTTTGAAAAGTACCAAATTGTGTGCAATGAAATGCTCTTTTCATAAAAATATATGCTATAGAGCAACAAAATAGTTTGGAATGAATAAAAATGTGGAAAGTTGTAATTTTTGATGGCCAATAGGCAAACAAAGCAATAAAAAACCCTATATGTGCAAAAATATTCACAACAAAGAGAATTAAGAATATACATCTTCAAGACAATTCACCCAGGAACAGTATAAAAATAACAAATGTTGAACAAGAAGTTCCTATTCACATAAAAAAAATCAGAACGAACCGAGGTGCTGCTTCGTTGCTCAAGCCATGCGGTGAAGCATTGCCCGGTTTCTTGTGAGACACAAGTTAACTCGTGCACATTTCCCACTAAATTTTCTATTTCTTGGTATAAGAGCCTCCAGCTGTTCTAATATAGATGAATGCCTATCCCTCGGTAAATCAGATGTATAATGAACTTCGTTATTTCATCTAGCGTAATGTTTTTCCATGAGCCACCTCACTCCGCTTAGATTGGTATTCCTATTTAAGCGACCGAGCATACTTCTTAGCATTTTGCACATCGTATTACAAAAAGAACAATATTGCACACAGTTCTATAATGTTTTGTGCTGCTGTGTAGTTAGAGCCAGGATGTGCTTTGGAAACCTTCTTGTCATTAGGAGAAGCCCTACAGCCGGTGCCAGCACACCGCGCCCCAGCAAAGTGTGGTCCTCGCACGTTACCAGATTAGCTATAAAATTGTGCACAAAGGTCAGCAGCTACGCACTTGTGGTGGAGGAGACAACTTGAGGTCGTAAAAAAAAAACAAACCCATGGATGGCTATGGATGTCTCAGATTGATGCAAAACATCGATGATCGATTTGTGGGGTTAAACGTCCCAAAACCACCATATGATCATGAGAGACGCCGTAGTGGAGGGCTCCGGAAATTTAGACCACCTGAGGTTCTTCAACGTGCACCCAAATCTGAGCACACAGGCCTACAACATTTCCCCCTCCATCGGAAATGCAGGATGCAAAACATCGTCTCCACAAAACTTGAAGTTGAAGTGCTGTCATCCTCGAACTTCAGGCTCATCCTCACTCAATTCAGGTGTGGTTGCAAGACAGTTTTGAGCGGCACATGTCTTTTGCGGCGCTGGTGCACACCTATGCACGCATGATGACTGTGCCATAGGCGTGACTACTGACACTAGATGAGACTCTGTGTCTGATATAACAATACGAGCAAAACCAAATGAAAACTGGCTGAGAAGGCCATCTCGACACTTTATACATGTGGCGGTCTATGGGAAATATTTTTTGTAAAATATATTTTTCCCTGACTCTTAACAACAGCTGTCTATCGAATAGCTGGCATAAATTTCTGCCAACTATTACTGCTCAACATTGTCAAATCGCGAAGCTGACACCTTAATTCGATATTTGGTTTGAAAAAGTTGCTTTCATAACATAACTTCGATGTTACTGCAGTATAATCTCAAGGGGCATGCACTTTTGTCAAGTTCGTCAGCCTAGTGCACTTTTCCAACAATATAGGCACATTGCTTCGCGCAAATGTCTCTTAAATGTCACCATGTAGCCCAAATGGGCAAATTCAAATTGATTCTGAAAGTTGAGTGGCTTGACTAATTACTAGAAAGTGCTGGGTGCATGAGAAACAAATTCAGCATGCTAAAATCGGTGATCCAAATCGTCTATCACCGGTGATCAATTTGAATAGGCGTGGTAACAAAAATTTAGCATGCTAAAATCGGTGATCCAGATCGTCTATCACCGGTGATCAATTTGAATAGGCGTGGTAACGAAAAAGTTAAGAGGCAGCTTTCAGTTTTAGGCCAATTATAACTTTCCACTTTATACGTGTTATGTGCAAGAATTTCCAATTAGACATTGACAGAACACTGAAATTAGCAGTCACATATATACTGTAGGAATTGCCGATTCGCCATCGTCTTCAACATGTGGCAGCAAGCAACATTACGCATGCTTTGTGATGTGCAGGAAACACAATAAAAGAAAAGACCATGGGCAGCTATAAGGTATTGTTGGACAGACCGTTACAGGAAATGGGTGTGTATGCAGCATGCCGGTATCACGGGTAGTGGCAAGAAAGTGTTTTTGTAGAAAGTTTACTTATGTAAGCTTTGAAGAATGTGCTATGACTGCAGTACTGGTACGGTTCCAAATGGCGTGCTTAAAATGTTGCTTGAATGACACATTAACCATACGCGATCCATTGTTGGCCTCTGCTCACAGTGCAACACAGCTGTAGCAGTCTGTGGTTAAACACTGGTGGGCAACTTCTTTCGCAATTCAATCATGCGCATGTTTTGTCACTACAACATGTGCCATTCATAAAAGATTATTCAAGCTACTTTTACTTCAGCTTTGAGTCTTTTACTTTTGAACCAGAATGAGCAGAAGATGGAAAATGGTTATGAACCACAAAGGGTCTAGCATCCAAGGTCTATTCATAAGGTATGTTTATCTATTGGACCAGTACACTGACCAATCTCGTTGATAGGTTGCATGTGTCTCTTTTTGTCATCAACTTTATTGGGGCAGTCTTGTCTTTTTTTATTAGGTCATTGTAATGACATGCATAGTGGTTTCTATTTCTTTGTTGTGCACTTTTCACTGGCTAAAATGCTTACGCGTGCTATTGCTAGGTGCACACCATGTTAAAGTGCAGTGGGGCATTCCCAGGCATTTGTCAAGGTTCTGATAAGATAGCATGCCTGATGTATGCGGTTTAAATTATTCTAGAATTTATATGAGCACCAGTTATTAATTTCGAAAATACAAATGTGCACGTATAAAAACCATTGTGTGTATAACAGCCAAGTACTATATAGATAATCAAATACCATGCTTGCTGCTGTCATTGTAGTGCAAGTGTTCCTGGTACTTGAAATACTCAACTTTTGCAGAGCACAAGCCCATTCAATAGAGAAATCAATCTTCACTGATTTTACAGCTTGGTTCCTCACTGTCACAACTGTGTCATAGTATCACCATATCAGTTTTATAGGTTTTGATTTCCAAGTAGGTAAACTTAGAGCGGCCCAGCAACACTTTTCGAGCATGGTCAGACAACACTGCCTATCAGTAGTCAAGGCTCCCAAGAACACTTGAGCCAAATGTAGTATGGCACGCAACCTAGAGTTTACCCTTAATTGTCAAAACTGGCTAAAATAGCTCCTTATTCTTTACAAATGATGCCATATATCTGAATTTTCGCGCCATGTACCCACCTCTGCAGTCGTCAAGTGATTTGAGCATCATAAGCTGCAGAGTTACCATGGCTGCCACAAGATGCTACCAAGTGCCCACACTCGCAATCGCACTAAAAATGAGCTCCACATTCGAAAGAAAACAAGAAAAGAATGCTCAAGGTTATGACACACGCTGAAGAATAGATGCATCATCTTGTCTCCTCCGTGCATATCTTGAAGCGGCACGGAAGTGCTTGACGGGTGCGATGAACTCCACTCGTAATGGACGAATTCTAAAAATTTTTTGCAGCATGTTATTCGTAAAGTGTCGTGCACCAATAGTGAGACTATTTTATTAAAATTGAGAAGAGCATTGCAGGGCCCCTTTAACAGTGTCGTGATACTGCTTTTTGATATTTAGTTACTGAGCTGTAAATTACATTATTTTGCATTCCTGATGCCCTGAAGTAAAGATAAGCATTCGAATTTTTCATTTATGTGCATCCCTTAAATTGCCGTTTGAACATTGTCACATTTTCATGTCAGGAAAGTTTGCATATTGAATTTGTTTGCTTTTAATACTCCAGCAAATGCAGCTTATGAAACTGTAATAAAGTTAAACCTCAAAATAATGAACTTCCATATAACAAAGTATTCTGTTTAATTAGGTATTTCAATCTTTATAATTCGGTGTTCATAGTTCACCATATATTTTCTACCTCAATATGGAGAGAATGTTTATCCATAATTTCAATATAAGAAAGTTTAACAGTCACAGGGAAGGTTGGCGAGGAAACATTCTGGATCTCCTGCTGGTGTCACTATTCATGTGGTTGACTTGCATGTGGTTTTTTCAGTGGCATTTTTCATAGCGTGGGCCACCTTAGAGAGAGCCGCCATTATTCAGGTGGTGGCCTTGCCTCCATGCAATTTTAGAACACTGCTTTCTGTTTTCTTGGCATGCAGTGGTCGTTTAGTGCTGATTTTATTGAGCCAAGTGGTTCTGTTTGGTGAACATACTCGTACCTAGCATTGCTGTCTTACTACTCTAGGCAACATAACATATTTTGCTCTCAAGCTGCAGAAGCAGACCAGGTGTGATAGTTTAACTTGACCCATGTCATCACAATTCGTTGGTATTGCATTTGTTTTGGCTTTATAAGAAATTTATGGGTGCTGTGAAGAGTATTTCATGAGCATGGAATCAAATTGGCATTGCTATATATCAGATCTAAGATAGCTCTAAATTATCTAAATTGAGTGAAGGTAGCGCACAAAATAATTTTGTATATTTGACCCCATTGCATGCGAGCATTTCTGCTTGGATGATGCTTTATCCTGAGGCGCCTCCATTAAAAAAATGGGGGACTGCAAGAACTACATTTAAAAACTTATTTCTCGACTTTTGCACAAGCTGCCAAGTGGTTTCAGTTCTAATTGTAGCTCTGCTTGTTTTTCTGCATCGCTTTTTTTCATCATGTCCTGTACACAGGTCCCCGGGTCGGAAAGGGTTAGGACAGTGTAACTACGTGGTAATTCTGATACATACAGTGACTTGCTGAGTAGTAAGGGATCTACCCTGCAAGTCAGCTTTAAAAATTATATCACATAATACGAGCTTAAAATATAGCTTTTGCTAAATCTGTGTGTATAGTCAAAACATGTTGTGTACTGTTCTCTTGCATTGCTTGCACACACACTTACCTCTTGCCACAGCTAAGTATCACAATATAAAAATTTAGCTTATCTTATATTTGAACGGCCATGAAAAGCTTAATAACTGTTCACAGGTTGCATTCCTGATTTCACTGGTTGTGTTTTGATAACAGTCTGTCGCCAGTACTACTGAGATTATTCATAGTTCAATTTCTCCTGCTTCTTCTCACCCGTATGCTTCCTGAGAATTAAGAACAGCAGTGCACACTTGTGGTTGTCCCATTGTAGTTTACATTAGGGTAACAGCATGCTTTGTGGCATATATACAGTACCTACAATTATTTTTATTTACTGTTCAAATGCATGCAAATTTACTGGAACAAACAGATAATATCAACCTTTTTTTTCTGCCACAATCGCAAAGGAAATAACGAACCCCATAACTTTACCTCTCAGTATTTCTGGCAGCTATAATATTTACCTAAAAGTATTATTTTTGTAATGTGCAAAGGAACTGCTATTGAGTAAACTTGTCTTTCATGCGAAACAGTAATCTAAAGATTACATTAATTAGATTTATGTGTCATTTTTGTATTTATGTGCGAAGCAATACAACCCAATATAGTATATATAGGTCAAATATATTATGTTCTGATCCACTGGAAGAAATTTCTAAAGCTAATAACACACCTAGCTCATCTGTGACAGAGATATGTTGTTGATGTGTGCAGCTATATTACAATGATATGGAATACCATAACAGCATGCGGGTTGCAAAGTGAGTGCGTAATTAGAGGAGGAAAGGTTCAGAGCAGGATATTTCCCACCAGTCAGTGCAGGAAGAAGAGCAACAACATGGTGCAGCACACATAATGCAGAATGAATCGTGTTACTTACGAGTCGCCATATGCCAAGGCACATTGGATGGAGAACAAATTCTTGTTAGTGCATGATACAACCTTGTACAAATGCACATGTGAGTAGCATGGCCATAAAGACTAGTTATTGTAACTTCAGAACCTACTTGTTTGTCCGAGCATTACGGCAAAAATGTTATGGCAATAGGCATGTTGTGTCTTGCTGATGAAAAGCTGTCCTAATGTATAGAAAAGAAAGAGGATTATGAGGGAAAGATGACAACTACAACGTGAGCTTAATTAAACTGTGCCACCTGGCTAGATTATTTTACTGTTATTGCTGTTTAGCATTCCCTTAGCTCAGCACTAACAAAGACTTAATTCCTTTCTTTAGCAGAAAAGACAGCAAGTGAACAAAATAACTCTACAGAGCATGAGGGAACGATTTTTTTCAAGATTAAAGCGCTACCAATCGGCATTCTCTTTTCGGTACTACAATGCCTGAGGGTGTTCAGAGGGGACTAAATTACTTAAACTGCTAGAATACAGCTAAATGCAAGAAATCATGATTTGTTCATAATGAGGCCACTTGAAAAGCCGTGTTCCAACATTCCCACTTTATCACTTCTGTTTTTCGAGGAGTTACACACTGTATATGCCAATCATTTAACAAAAGCTCATATGCTGAAAATCCAATTATCGAAAATTCTAGGTGCACATAATCAAAATCTTATGGAAAATCTAGGTGTACATTTTATTCTAAGTGTAAATTATAAAATTATCAAAATTTTAGGTGAACTAACAATTAGTTATTTCTTAGTAACATTACTTGCAGGATGTTGCTAGGCAGAAACTATTCAATGGGACAATCCAGAAGGAACAGTTCTGATAATGCCTTTTTGCCATATCTTAAAGTGAAACATAATATCTCGTGCCTTCAATGACATTTATGTAACACCACATGGGTAAACTTAATGCGATTTGCCTTAAGTGCTTCATAATATGTCAAGCACAAAAATATTTTTTGTATGGTTTGCACAACAGCTCCAGAAAAATTATTTGATTTCTTAAAACACCCTATCCAGTAGAAAATAATTTTTTCATAGCTTTCAGCTATGTGAAGCCCTGCTGTAGAAAGACAGCGAGATCAATTTGGCTAACATTTTGACTTAAACAGGCCTAACACTGTAATTATAGAGAACAGGCTGTCCCATCATTGAATGTGTGGCAGTACTTGTGACCTCATTTGCTTGCACATATGTGCAAAAGCGCTGCTCCATGCTAAATTTCTCCAAGAACATAATTGCCAACACTGTACAACAGTAGAATATCTCATTAGAATGTATTGTACCTAGTTTGTTTGATGATTAATTGTGTGCAACAAGCCCAGTTTTATTAGTAAAGCATGCAGTGTTAATTATAGTTAAGCATGCAAGTTTACGTGAAACTACTTCTCTAGCTTAGTGTGTTAGTGTCAACAGAAATAAGAAAGAACAAAGTCCAGAGCAAAAACGTATGTTTTTACGACAACCACACAAACAAACAAAAGCATACAGAAATGACAGGTGTTAACGGGTGTTAGCGTGTTAAAAACAAGGACAAGAATTTTTAATAACCAAAAAGCAATTCCTTCAGTATTATTAGTAACAATAATCATAACAAAAAGACAGAAACATGGTGCATAAGAACTCAACAGTGGATACTGAACAAAAAACTAAAACATAACTCCATCTGCAACATACACCGAACAATAAAACCAAACAAAATACCATGAAACTGTCTTCTTCAAGGATACTGAAAAAATGTTTACAAATCACTACTGTTGCATTATTGATTTAAAAGAACCACATTACTGCTGCTTCCTGAATAAGCTTTTTCTTATTACTATTTTCTATAAGATCCAACTGATTATTACCATGCTCAATGAAAATAAACACCCACTAATCGTTTATCAGCACTAAAGTCCATGAAAAAGTTTTGGCAGTGACAAACATGGTGAAAGCATGGTTGAATGAGCAGCAAAAATCCAACACTGGGCAACATTATGTTCTCACTTTGATTGTAGGTGCACTGCATAAAACTTAGAACAGTAGATGGGACTAACACCATATAAACTCTGTGTTATTCCGTACTTTTAATCCCGTACTTTTTTTAAAGAAATGTCCACATCTATCTCGTAAAATGCATTCACACAAAACATTTAGATGCAATCATTAGGTGAGTGCTTCCAAGTTTTTTTCTTCTTTTTCTCACATAGGCATTAAAAAATCATCGCAAAAAGAAACAAATTATTTAAGTAGAATTTTTTGTTGGGCTAGCTGGTGCATGTTTTACGGAAGGAATAAGGTGCAAGAGAGGCATTCGTCCATGTCACTTCTTGTGGTCCTCTTGCTTGCACCTTAATATCAAACCCTGGTGAGTCCAAGAAGCTGCCCAGAAGTTTACTTTAATGTAAGCAGCTATACTCACTTCAATTATATTACGTGTCGTGATATGAAAATATAGACATCGGCACAGCACTTGAGCGCACATAATTTTGGACATAAGTCGGTCCACATAAAATGCCTTATGTTCACCCTGAGTATGACACAATCTTGACACAGTAAGATGCAGTGAATGCAGATCAACATGAAGCATAATCAACAGGCGGCATCAGCATCTAGCAAAAGAATCAGTAAAATGTGATAACACAAGCATAAAATTTGGAAGTGATTGCTACATGGTATTTATTTTAATTAAATGTCAACTGATGCCAAGGCAGAAAATATATGCCTAACTCAAGAGTAACTCCTCACATAGAAGTAGTTCCAACTTTTTGCAAAACAATTAACCATTCTGGTTCCTCGCAAGTAGAGCATATGAGAGGGTAGTGGTTACAAATATTGTATGTTTTTATTAAAAAACAATAATTTCTAGGGGCTTTCTTTTAGTCAACACTGTCCCTGAAGAATATTTTAACATTGTTTGGGGCAAGATACTATTTAGGATACTATTTACATAGCTTGACAGTTGCATGCATCAACTGCACATTAGAAGAAGGGGGTCGACATGAATCTATAGCTGCCCAAGTTGCCAGAAATAAACTGAGCCCTGCAGTATTTTTCAAGCCCCCTCTTAATGGCTGCTCAAATGCACCGACAAAGTAAGCCTTCTGCAAAATGAACTGCACAAAGCTACCCTCGATAACGCGGCCTGCGCGTACCTTCAATGGCAAGGACGTAGTCATCATTCAGTGTGCCGGCAGGGCTGTCAATAGAGCAGCGGTAGACACCACCATTTTCAGGACGAACACCATTCACTGAGAGGACAGCACCCCGCACTCGCACATTCTCAGCAAAATGATCATCAGCGGCGAGCTTCGTCCACTTAACAGAAGTGGCGCCATCTCCTGTCACAACACAGTGAAGGTCCAAGCTATCACCCATGTGGACAACCTCCTTGTTGGCCCGAATCCTCACTGAGATGCTGGGAACATCTGTTGAGAAACAAGCAGCCAGAAAAAAAAAATAATTGTTGAAAATAAATACTCAGAAGGTCACATGACAGTGGTGCACTAAGATACCTCTGAAAATTTCAAAATTTCTTAGCCCTTTGTCACTAAAATGTGACAGCGGCATGTTCGATGCTCCTTGAACTCTTCAAAGTTTGAACTGTACCATACTTAATCCCAAATGCTGTAGACGGCTCGGTTATGTAGATTCACAGTTTTGTACTGCACATTCCAACATTTTTCTTCAGTCATCACTGTTCTTAAACTGCGCAAAATGACCAAGACATGAGTAGAAGAACACACAAAATATGAGTGAAGACATTTTTTTATCCTCCTATACCAAAGCAAGAGGCAGCAATTTCCTGCCAGTCCCGTGTTCTGGCTTACTGCCTGAAGCCTCTGCAAACCCCATCTTGTTTCATTTTGGAGCCAAGCCCAAAGAACAGGCTAGATCTGTGCTCACTTGTCTTACTCATTCGTTTCACACGGTTCGCCTAAGAGCAATGAACTAACTAGCTCCCCAGGATGCTTACTGAAGATCTTCAGTCATTAGCAAGGACAGTGCAAGCGTTCACCACCAAGAAAGTGTGGGCAAACACCAAAACCCTAATAGAGATATGTATAGACACTTAATTAGGCTGGTTGGCTAAATTTTGGTCTGCTGCATCAGTGAAAACGACACAGTGAAGAATGAAACACTGCCTATTGTGTTCTTTATTTTATGCTTCTTGCAGAAAGCTTTCCAAAGTGCAGAAAATTTCCCAAGTGCAGAAGAATCATAGCACATTTTCTCAGGAAGAAAATCTCTTAGCGTCTGAAAAATTTGTCCTGGTCTGGGGATCAAACCCGGGACCAGGACGAATGTTAATTTCTCTTTCTTGAACCTTCCATCACCTTGCACAGTTCCACAGACCCAATTTTCAGTATTCAGAGGTGCTTAGTCATGCCAGTCATAGTACCTATCATAAAGAGACCAAATTCCAGCGTATCATGAAATGAATCTTCAAGTTACATCTAAACCACAGTCACAGACAAATTTAAGTAGATTATACTGAGAAAGAATGCAACTTTCACATAAGTGAACATACAATAGACAGCAAGACTTTGTTCTATTTAATTTCTAACAAAATCAGCAAGTTCCATGAAACAAGTCAATAGAAAAGCAAACAAATGCAACTGTAGGCACTGATATTTATCTGAACCTTGGCACTGCTGATGAATGCAACTGCTTGTTTTTTATGGGTTTATTAACCAGAAACACACACAAGGATGGGAATAATTTTCACTCACACCCAGAAACCTCAGCTACATTGAAACTGGACTAAATGTCTAAATATAAAAAAATATCGCAGCTTGCACAAAGTCGTGCAAGGCTGGGTCACAGCACAGGTCATGGACTAAATGTAGAAGAGGACAAAGATGAAGAAGATAAAGTAAAGGGTGAGTGCTTGTTCATAAAGATGATGGTTTTTCTACTCCACATGGAAAACCACGTTTTCTATACTGAACTGTAAATGACTATGCTTTCTCTTTTTTTTGTTTTCTTGTGTGTGAATGTTGCTTTATATCTCTTTCTCCTCTCTTTATTCCTGTTTTTCTTTATTTCCCTGTCTCTGTTCATCTGTCTCTTTGTAATCAATCTCTCACACATGTATCTTTCTATATCTTTCTGCAGTCCGTCTCTCACTTTTTGTATTTTTCTCTGTTCATCTGTTGCTTTCGCTGTGTATTTCTTTATCTGTCTTTCTGTTTTTTACTAGATTTCCTTTCTTTCATTCTCTTTTTTTTATAACTGTTTTTATGTGCCTGTTTCTCTCTCTCTATGGTCCACCTATCGCTTTCTATCTTTTTTTCTCCACTTCTTCATTTTCTTCCAACACACTTCTCATTTTCTACTCTTACCATCTATCTCTCTTTCTGCACTCATTCTGTCACCCTTCTTTCTCTCTTCTTAACCCTCACATCTATTTATTTTGCCCTCACAATTCGCTTTCCCATCACCATGCTCTACTACATCATACAAGGCAATGCCCTGGGCTGCCAGCGTGCCTGGATAACCGAGTGTTTAGGATGCTCACATTCAAATAGTAGGTACGCAAGCTTCAATCTTGCCTTGACAAAGAAATTTTTTTTGCCAAGAAATTATCTTTCTTCATATCACACATTCCTTTGCCCATCAAGTTATTGCATCCCTCCCTGGACTTCTTCCGGTAAAACAAAGCAGGAAGGCGTTGAAGAAGGGGACAGAAAATGCCAGTTCATGATGATGATCATCATTTGAGACACACGGCCAACCTCAACCTTATCAGCTCTGCTTTAAAAGAGATAAAAATTTGAAACCATATTTATCTAAAATAATCTCTGCTACAGTGGGAATACAAAGCTCAAACAACGAAGTCCTAAAAATTTTTTAAGGAATTTAAAAATGTTGTTAATATTTCTTGCACTTTTACTGCATTGCCTGGTGTACAAAGGTGCAGTTTAACAGCTACACCAAGAAATATATTTAGTGCCAGACTGATTAATGCTCTTCAGAGAAATTTTTTTTTGCTTCCTCCCCCCCCTATACCCCCTTGGATCTTATGCTTTAGGACCTCTTGTGCTTAGGCCTACAAGCAGCTGCCACTTCAGCAAAATATGCCTTTTTATTTTAAGCTTCCCAGATGGGCAAATAATGTGTCAATCACAGAACAGTAAGGTCTGTATTCTAATGGAAATGATTTGCCAAATATGTCATTACATTGCAGATTCAACATTTGCAATGCTTCAAAATACATGTCAAACAATACACAGTCAGAAGTTTACATACACTCAGTGTCATAATATAGACCCCTTAACTTTGCTTTCATCAAGATAGGCATCACATGCATCATTCTGCATGCTTAATAAATCCACCTAGGAGGTAAGCAAAGGATTTCACCTCTGACATGAAGGATGACGTAGTCTCTCGAGATTAACCTGTCCCCTGTCATGGCATTGCAGATGTATCTTCCTTCGTTGCTTTGTTGCACGTCTTTAATCCTGCAGTTGGAGTGAAGTTCAAATAATGAAAATCATCTACCAGCAGATTTTGCTATGCTAGCATGTTTCTTTATAAAAACACGCCACATTAATTTTTGAATTTTTCAAGTAAGGCTCATAGATGAGATGTTCAGCAAACATCATGTCTATGCTTTATGCTTTTAAATGCTGTGAACTGATAGCACTGAAACCAACTGGAATAGAGTTACTCGCAATGTTTTAAATTACTACATTAAATTTTCTATGTACACGACAGTCAAATGTTCAGATGTCCTATGATTTGACAAACATAGAAGAAATAATAACCGATGTTTCATATCTTCATCAGCCTTTTTATAACATCAAGAAAATGCAGATTGCTTGAAGGTCACAGTTGTTTTCACCTCAGCCTCTAATTACAAAGAGAGATCACTTGCAACACGTGTGCAACCAGGAGCACAAATGTTCATTTGTGGCATGTGCTTCCAACGTGGTAATCACTAGTCTTGCCATAAAAACAATATGTGCAACAAGCAGGATAGTGGATACATGATTGTTTAAGAGAGCATGCTAATAATGTAAAGAAGGCAGTGTATCACGCCTGGCTTGTCCCTGATTGCAGTTGATGTGGAAGCAGGCCACTTCTTGTGCAGTGTAGTGTTGTCACTGGAAGTGGTGAAAAGCTTAACCATAAGTTTTAAAGGCATTGAAGATTGCTCTACTCAGATATGAGCACTCAATCTGTACACATGTCTGATGAAGAGCTATTCTTTCTGAGAAATGATGTGTACATGTGTGATTGTGATGGGCAGCTTAAATATGTATGGTGGAAAATAAACCTTTGATCGCAGTGAGAGCTGGTATTAGGTTGTCTCGCATCTTTAAAGTTTTTATAACTTGTGCCACGAAGTGTTGCTGATGGACACAGATAGCCACAATTCTGATGTCACTAACCATTCCTACACTCCGCCACTGTACAGCAGTGCTTAAGGAGGCGAGAGACAAACTCACTTCATTTCAAACCATTACCGCATGCTAGCCATTCACAACCCTTGCAGACAATAACGGTAGGCTGGTACAGCAGTCTGCCACGAAATATGGAAGCACTACTAAAGAAATAAAGCTTCTCAATGGCTTTGCTATGGTTTGCGAGTAGACTGTGGCGGCCCAAAGCACTGAGCACACAGACTGTTCTGTGTCTTCGGTGGCATCTCAGATCTCTGCACATTCAACACTGCAGCTCACATTACCACGAGAACTGAGAAACTACCTAACACGTTCGCTAACTTCTGTTTGTACTGCTCATCATGACAGCATTACAAAACTTGTTGAAGCGATCATAGAGCAAGATGAGACTGCATGTAGCGCGTAGACAGGATAACCGCTGGTTGTTAAGTGTAACTGACTGGATTCCAAGAGAAGGCAAGCGGGTTAGGGGGAGACAGAAGGTTAGGTGGGGAGATGAGATTAAGAAGTTTGCGGGTATAAATTGGCAGCAGCAAGCACAGGACCGGACTAACTGGCGGAACATGGGAGAGGCCTTTGTCCTGCAGTGGACGTAGTCAGGCTGATGATGATGATGATGATGATGATGAGACTGTGAATCTCTGTAGGCGTCTTGCTGATTTCCTCACTAAGCAGAACATGAATGTTTACTGCAAAATCTAAGGTCGATAGAGCAAAGAATTTTAACCATACAGCTAGTTGTTAGTTGCGTTTCTAGCCCCATTTCATCTTAATGCAACTGTGGCTTTGTTTGACTGGTGTCAAAAATACAAGAAATTGCACTTACTTTTCATTGCACAGTAACGTTGCTGACACATACTGTTTCATTTGTACATGTGTTGAAAACATTATTATATTCACTTGAGTTCAATTCCTTAGAATCATATTTTCACTTGATGTGCATTTTTGTTTTCATGAAGCTTAAACTTAACATTCACTTGTAGCTGTTGTATTTAATAAATTACTGAAATTCAAAACCTACACCTTGTAAATATCTACACAGGTTGGCAGTACGTGTGAAACAAATAGAAAAAAATAAACATTTGATTACATTACATGACTTGCTCTATTAATAAAGCCACAATGAACTGCCACAACATGTAAACAATTGGTAAAAAAAAGTAAAAATATGATAAAGTGAAATTACCAGAGTTCTCCATTCACTTCCCTAGCATTTGGAGGCAAGGCATGGGTGTCTTTTGTCCACTGAATCCTCTCAGGGGAGCCTGTCAGTGGACAGCGCAGCTCGATGTTTGAGCCCACAAATGCAGTCTCCTCTTTTCGCAAGGATCCGATTTCAACCCCTTCTGCAAGAATATTTTTATATCAGAATTTTGTTCTTGTGATGAACATTTATTTGCTGTCCACCTAATATTTTCCTTAAATGAGATAGCCTTGCCATTTGGAGTAATTTAGGCAACTTTCTTACTCTCATTCAGTAGAAAAAAAAAAGAAAAAAAAGTGATGTTTTTTGACATGTGTGAGATGCAGAGGAGTTCTATATTTTATTGCACCTTGTAGAAATGGCTTTCTTTTAACTAGAATTACCATTCACATCCTTTTGCCCATACAAGTATGTGAAGTTTTTCACTGTATCCCAAAGTTATTGATAAAACAGAGAATAAGTTTTTACCGAGAGTCATAATGCAGCATTACAAAAGCTCCAGGCCTTGTACTTTGCAAGCTAATTAAAAGTGCTGCATCAATGTCACCATCATTATAGCCTTTGAATGGCAAACCACATACCTGTGACCCTGACATCAGCAACCCCTTCAGCTTGTCCAGCAGCATTGGCAGCTGTACAGATGTAGCGACCAGCATCGGTTATCGAGATGCCCCGGAATTCAAGCAGGCCGTCTCTATGCACAGTGCTTGGAGGCAGCTGCCCACCCTGCCTGGTCCAATGGTACGTGATGGGCGGCTCGCCTATGGCCGAGCATTGAATGTACACGTGGTGGCCTGGACGTACTGTCTGCTGAGTTGGGTTCAGCTGAATTCGAGGTGGAGCTATCAAGAGACAGTGGATGAAGGAAATAAAAGAGGAGGAATGTTAACTAAAGAGCACAAAAAATGTACATAATTGTAACCCCTTTTTTCAGTAGCAATGATGTACAACACCAATTAAATACATCTGAACAATGTCCAACAAAGTTAGCACTGGAAAAAAGCAGGCAGCAAAAAGTGGGGGACCCATAAGCTTCGGGTTGAACGCGATAGCGAAATCCGGCCCCTAGTGCACCCTTCAACCGCTAAGTGCATACTTATTCATGTTTTGTTACATGCACACGTACACACACAAACACGCACGCAGTAGATTGGACCAGTGCGTGCTATTATCGCCGAATGGGCTCATTTTCGTCGTGACACTTGTCGAACAAAATGCATTAAAGGGACCCTGAAACACTTTTTCAAGTAACCATGGAATGAAATCACTAGAAGAGCTTATTGTCTCACGAATTTAACGCCACAAAAATTTTAAGAATCCGTCCAGTGCGAGTGGAGTTACAAAGGTTTCTCACATGCGGAAATTGCATTATCTCTTCTCTCGTCTCGACGAAAACGCTAGAAGCTAAGCAAGAATAAATGGAAGGGCAAAGGAACTACTGCGCCTTGTGACCTTGAGCACTTCTTTTTCTTCGAATGCACGGCTTTTGCAGTGCGATCGCGCGTGCACGCGTGGACAAGTAGCAGTCTCTCACGACTATCTCGGTAACTTGATTTTTCGGTCACACAGGCGATTTTTTGCTCACAGCCAAAAGCGCCGACGCCGGTGGTGGGTTTGTTGCGACACAAGCTCTTTAACGCTATCGCGTTAAAATTTTGCGACAAATAGAGTGCGCTGGAAGACTAAAGCTACATCAAGTGGCCAGCCTAAATAAAGCAAGAGTGTGAATCATAAATAGAAAACACAGCAAAAGGAGAGGAACCAAGATTATTGGCTTTGTCAGCAAGACAACTTCTGTTCACCTGAATATGCTGAGCAGTATGAAAGCCTCTGAATAAAAAAAAAAAAATGTTTGCACCACGTTGCACAAAGCTTGGAACAGCAAAGCATAAGCCCATCGCTACTCATACTTCCCACTGACCGACACATCTAGCTTCGAGATGCTTCCTCCTAATTCTCTTTCTCACCCACTTGTTACACTGTGAATCACATCAGACCCAAGAGTGCAAGCCACTCATTCTTGTTGAACTACATGTGCCTCTCTTCATTACCTACTAAACCCCTCCCCCTTTCACTCATTTCAGTATATAAAACTGATGACAATAAACACAGGCATTCACTTCTGTCCTGACAAGCGTTTTGGTTTCGTTGACTACAGTACGGCCGATACATGGTGTTAAAGGTGCGAAACTGTAGCCTTGCTGATGAAGGAAGCACCGTAACAACTGCGTACACCACAGCCTTCAAGAGAACATCACAAACATGGAGTACATCAAGCCACCTCTGGGCCTCTCGACAAACGGGGGAGGAATGTGGAAGCTCTTTAGGCAAAAATGCGATTTATTTTTGTCAGCCACGGAGTGAACTAAAAAACTGAAGTCAGAGGCAGCGAAAACGGCCTTTTTCTTCAGTGTGGCTGGTGACGAGGCGCTTGAAGTTTCTAACAACCTTACGTTCGTTAAAGGAAAAGACAAGGAGGACTATGGCACGGTGGTGATCAAGCGTCAGATATAATACGTTAAGCAAGAGAACACAATTCACAAGTATTGCGTCTTCCAGCCTCAATTCCTGAGCAAAGCTGAACTGTGCAAACAGTTCTCCCATTCACTGAAGAAGCAAGCGCAGTTTTGAAAATTATGGAACGGTGATGCACGAGATGGTGTGCACTACCAAACTTTACTCGGTAGAAACTCATCGAAACTGCGAGAGAAGTTGCTCAAGGACAAGGGCTTTAAGTTGAACAAAGCCATTGCTTTATGCAAAGCAGTGGTAATGTCAGCATGTGAAAACTCGCTGTGGCAAAAGACGAACTGAAAGCTTCACGTCCTTGCAGCATGGTCGAACCGAAGCTTCAAATGTTTCTGCTGCAGCCGGTCACATGTCGCGCGGCACTATCCAGCCTATAAAAAACTTGCTATTTGTACAAGGAGGGTAAACATTTTGTGTAATGCTGCCACTCAAGCAGAGCCGTCTGCAAGGCACAGAATGAGAGGAAGATGTCATACCAAAACAAAGACTGATGTTTTGGACACCATTCAAAACATTAGCAGTGACTGGAACTGGATCTTGAAAACAAATACTGCAGGCAAGCACATCAACTTCAAGGACATCAGCAGGAAATACACAGGTGCCACAAGCAAACTTGATGGCGCTATCACTTTTCGGAAAATTTAAGCCTGTCTAGAAAAAGCAAGTAACACAGTTCTACAGTCGTATAACAGCAGCATCATCAAGCAGCTTGGCACATTTATGTCCCACATGACCATAGGTTACTGGAGCATCTGCACCAACTTCTTCCTGATTAAAAAAAAACCACAGCGCCCTCCTGGATCTGAAAGTCACAAAGGACCTAGGGCTCATTAAACGTTATGATGATACTGTAACAAGCAACAGCACCTTGGCGGTTCTCAATGAATTTCCACAGTTTTTTCGAGGAACAGGCTGTGTGCAGCAAAAGTACAGGATCATCTTTCAAAATGATACTGCGCATGTGTCATGAACAATCACCCGAAGTATAAACAACAAAGTATAGACGACGGTTGGTACTGCGCGAGAACAGGCACCATAAAGCGAGGCCCAAGGTGCATGACCCCAGCTGCGATAAGTGCCTGAGCACCGATGAGCTGGCATTGTCGACTTGGTCTTAACAGGAGAAGGTCGCATCGCCAGCAAGCACACTGGCGACGGGAGTATCAGGACAATGACTCGACTATTTGTGATGCGGGCGTCCTGAGAAGTAGACAGAGACCTCGACCTGCTTCAAAGGATGCTGCTCGGGATGCAGCAGCCATGCACAGTAACTGCCGACGTTCCTTGAGCCAGCCTCCTTAGAAGCCAGCTGCTGAAGACAGTCCCTGGGTGGCCACATTAGCGTGCAGCACTGGGTATCACCTGCAGCCACTAGGCCTAACCTCAGAGGCTTTCACCACGTCAGCACCAAGATCAGGCGACGAAAACGGCGGGCGACCACGCCGGCAGTGGCAGGAACAAGGACGTTCGTAGAGAATGTCAAGATCCCCAAAGGGTACAAGGCACGAGCAATCAGCATATTGGCGTCAAGATCATCAGAGCTGACAAGTAAGGTCAACCTGAATCTTGAGCTGAACTATGACGACAGAAACGCCCAACGTTGACTAGGATGGTTTAGTTTACAGTGCAGTTGGCGTGCAATTTTAGTACGGCTTAGTTTGATTTTGAAGGTACAGTTGAACCCACATTTAACAGCCCCGTTTAAAACGAACTTTAGCTTAAAACGAACAATATCCGCGTGACCGTGAAAATATACATGCTTTCACTGACACAAAATCACACTTACAACAAACATCTCCGAGTGCTGCCGATCGGTTACAGTGAACAGAGTCTGCGCTCTGCCGACTTCCCGGGAAACCACTGTCGACCACGGATGAGGCATCGGCAAGGTTCCCATAGATTCTTATTGTCAAACGCCGACCCTACCTCCGTGCCCCTCTAGTTGCAACTCTTCCTGACAGCTCTTTGTTACGCACCATTCCGTTCTTTGTCCCCCCGCTACACTGAACACCCCGCATCGCCAGACCCGGCCCGTGTTTTCACACTGCGACCCATTTTTCGAAGACCGGTCATCAATCTCCCCTGTTTTTGATCGCTGGTACTGTCATTAACCTTGCCGGCCTGGAGTGACTAGACCATTTGCCAACATCATCTGTATCCGATCGTCTGCGTCTTATCTTATTGTATCGATTTACTGCACGTGCGTATGCTACCCCACCCACTCGAATAAAATGTGCGATTCTTTTCATGTTTAGGACCTGTTCTCACTCACTTCGCACTCAACTCAGCATGCCCTGCGCATGCTGAGGCGGAAGCATAAAAACAGCTGTTAATTTTCGCAGAACGAATTGCGAAATATCGAAGTCGATGAGCTCACGCAAGCCTGCCGGCGCAACAAAATGATTCTTTGGCCACAGCCGTCAATTCTTTAAACACTGCCCCGCGCACCGATGCAGGCGGCTGTGCTTAGAACTCTGTGCCTGCATGCACAGAGGTCTAAGCACGGCCGCCTGCAATTTTTTCTATGTGGAAGTTGCGCGTTTTGCGGACCTTTCAAGCAAGCTGCCCGACCTGCGTCCTTCTTGCGTGCTTTGGTTTTCAAGGTAGCCTTCCCGCCGTATCCTCCCCTCTCTTCACTCTATCGCAACTCCTTGCCATTCTCTCACAAATCGACTCTCCTCTCTTGACACAACAGCTTCGGCCGTTTCCACCGCTCCGCGACGTTAGCTACGCTAACTCGATTTTAGATGTTTTGTTTTTTGACTAGAAATGGGCCCAGAGCTGTACCACACGTTCTGGCATGTGTGTTGTGTGTGCGTCTTGCTCGCTCTCGGTTTGCGTGTGTGGTCAGAATGGCGGATGGGACGCCTCGCACGCTTTTTCCTGCCACTCAACAAAACGTCGAAAGTGTGACCACTTGGCTTGGGTGTAATCCCCGTGTTATGTGCCACGTTGCTGAGCGCTTGCTCATAGCTGTTGAGCACCTGGCAGCCAACTTGCCGCTTCTGGCGTCCCGGTATTCAGCTGTGGAGATGGTGAATATTTTGTGGGCAGTGGTGATGGCTACATGGGCGCAAAACTGTTTTTTTCGTCGACGTTGGGCCCAATGCTGAGCCTGAAGCTTCCGAACAGGACCACTCTGGCGGGGATTTGTGGCAGCACGCCGTCGACTCTGACCTGGCAGAGGGGGTGGGATATCTGTTGCGATAGCTTAGTTACGACCGATAATGATGCTAACACCGCAGAACCATGCACGAATTAAGGCATTATGAATTAAGTATGCGGCAAGAGCAGTTTGGAGGAATCGGATTGGAGAACGACGAAACTTGGGGAGCCAGTACCTCATGCAGCTTATGCCACCGGCCTCGGCGAAGAGCACACTGATGTTTGAAATAAACTCGAGATAGGCATTATCGGTTCTGCTCCTTGAAACACGTGTATCACGGACTATTTTGGGCAAAACATTTTGTGTTTTTACCCACAAGTATTTTGAAAGCTGTGTTTAATTTGCTACGAACTTCGGGATACAGCGAACAGATGCCGCGTCAGGCTCAGGTTCGTTATAAGCAGGCTCAACTGTATGAATATTAGTTTTGTATCTTTGTATCTAGAAGGTGTGTCGTGTGTGTGTGCTTATTAAATGGGTTTTGTTGCTAAAAGAGTCATGTCTCGGTCTATCACCAGCAGCAGCAGCTTGTAATTCATGACAGCCTGTCATCCAGCCAGCCAGACGAGTGCCTTTGGTGCTATGAAAACATTTGCGCGCCAAATACAGCGAATGAAAGCATGTCATTATTCAAAAAGTCAGCAGCCCAACAAATCGGGAAAGCGTTCTAGTCATTGTGCCTTAAGGGGTACTGACACCTTTTTTAGAAGATGAGTATACTCTCCCATACAATTCTCCAATATACAGAGATGACTCTGAACAAGTATAATGCTCAGCAAATCCTGATAAGATATTTTATTTTGATATTAAAGTTAGATTTCTCGTGGTGCACCTACCGAGATTGACACTAACTTGACGTCAGGCTACAGTATTAATCCTGGTGACTTCTCGCAGCAGTCTTGCAAGTTGTGGTGACGTCAAGCACCAAAACACAAAAAAATGGCAACTTGCGCAGTGCCCTCTCGATAATCTGCTCACACCATCCGGTCGTGCGGTCACTGTCATCCAGCATACTAGTGAAGCGAGCTAGCAGAGTCTAGAACAGCGTACATGCATGCAAATACAAGATTATGCTTTTCAGAGGGCAAATGAATCGTTTGATTTCAAATTGGTCCTCATGGCACCAATGTTATGCCCAGTGGATTGTCTTGCGCCAGTAAAATGGAGCACAATAAGGACTTGCTATTGAGCACAATAAGCACAATAAGGATTTGCTCAGCAATTTGATTTCAAGCACATCACATCTTGTCCATAGTACTCTCAGTCAAACGGCCTCGATAAGAAAGGTGTTCAGATAATTAAGCGAATATTGAAAAATACAAAAGAGGCGAATGAGACCTTTTGGCTTGGCGTCCTTATTCAAAGCAGAATAAGCCCACTGAAGGATTGGCAATCACTAGCAAAGCTGCTTAGCTGCTGCAAGGAAAATGCCTGCGGACTTGCATACCCGATTTCCGATCTCTTGCTGCCTCGCGAGTAAAGAAGCACAACGAGTACTTCAGGAAGCAGACGAATACTTCCGGGCCTCAAAAGCAACGATTCCATTCGCATAAGGGGAAAGACATGGACAAGAAAAGTTAAGGTTCTTGAATCAGCGGGGCCTCATTCCTTCCACGTGCAAACAGAAGACCGGAACATCCGGCGCCGCAATCGGTAGCACCTCTTGAAAACGAGCGAGCCCTTTGCGGACACTTCTAATGAAGAAGATTATGATGAAGAGCAGGTTCCTGCTTCTGTAGAATATCCTACATCCGGTTCGCCCACAGTAGTGCCAAGTTGTCTGCAACAACCTTTGTAACAATTCTACTGCGGCGAAGGTTGCAGCATTAAACCTATCCTCTGGAATGTCTGGAATATGATCAAAACTTTCAGCAGATAAGTCAACAGCATTGAAAGGGAAGATGTATAGTAATAGACCCTAGAGTGCAAGCTACCTATCTTTGATTAACTAAATGGGCCTTTCTATACTATGTACTAAAACCCCCTCTCTTTCACTTGTTTTGACATGTAACACTGATGACAATAAACACAGGCGTTGACTACTGTCCTGACATATGTGTTGGTTTCACTGATAGCGGCCTGGCTGATGCACACTCTACGATGCAAGACCGCATGCTATGCTCTGCTAGCGTGCCTAAACAGCAAAGTGGTTAAGATGCTCGCTTTTGGATTGAAGGTATTGTCAGGGGTCAGTGCACAAGATCACATGATCGTTGATGGAAAACAAAACAGGTTTGATGACGATTTAAATAGATTACATAACCGCTTGTCATTGTCATTTGCTGTCAAACGTGAGTGTGTCATTTCGCTTCAAACGCCCGACACCATGTGATCTTTCTTTCCCGCCTCGCAAGCCAAGCACAGGTCTCGCAAGTCTCTCAGCTCACACCGCTTGTGTCTTTCTTCAAATCATCAGTAGGTGTCGCTAGTCTCAGCTAACAGTATGTAGGTCAGGTTAGAATCCCGCATCATCAAGATTTTTTACTTCTTTTTGCAAAAACGTGGCTTTCCCTTTTTTATTCTTTCCATTTCTGTTTCTTATGCTTTCTTTCTCTCTCTCTCTTCCTCTCTCTTTGTACTCGTACTCGGGCAGCAACTATGAACTTTGCTTCCAAGGGCATGGTCGCAATCGCTGGCACGCGTGCGATGTCGGGCGCCATCAGCAAGCAGCTATCGTACACTTGCGTGCTCTGCTGTCATTGCGAAAAGATTGCATGAAAAATGTTGCTCTCCCTGTAGCGGCTGTATTCTCTCACATCAGAGTCGTGTAGAGTAATGTATGATCAGATGATTGATTGATATGTGGGGTTTAACGTCCCAAAACCACTATATGATTATGAGAGACGCCGTAGTGAAGGGCTCCGGAAATTTAGACCACCTGGGGTTCTTTAACGTGCACCCAAATCTGAGCACACGGGCCTACAACATTTTCGCCTCCATCGGAAATGCAGCCGCCGCAGCCGGGATTTGAACCCGCGCCCTGCGGGTCAGCAGCCGAGTACCTTAGCCACTAGACCACCGCGGCGGGGCAATGTATGATCAGATCCAAGAGAGTTAGATGTCAGCTTTGTTTTCTATAACATTACAATTTGCTGCTATCGCATTCATTGCCAATTTCTCGAGGTGCAACTAACTTTTTTAGCTATGTGCAGCAGGTCACACATTTTTTTTTACTCGAATACACCAACGTGAAGTACCGAGTTTATAGGCACCATATAATTCAGCACAGCGCCAAACTGAACAACATGCGCATGCGCTTGATGAGCAGTCCTGTGTGAACCTGTCTTGACCAGGATGTTCTGGGAGCCTGACAGCATGCTTGCTTCTCTTGAGCACCAATACAGTCAATTTTTCTTTTTCCTTTTCTGAACGCTGCCATTAAGTAATAAAAAAATGTTTTCTCCGCAAGGGCGAAGCAAAGAATGTGATAGCAACAAATTGTATGTTACACAAAGTACGGCTGGCAACTAACTCATATGAATCCAATATCACGTAACTCTACATATAGCTGGAGAGATGCTCTTCTGTTTATTCACGTTGAGAGTGCAGCACGCACAAGGGTTTATGAGCCATTCACGCTGTTGCTTGCTAATATCGTGCTCACACCATCGATCTTGACAGCCAACAATCAAAGTTCACAGCTGCTGCTCGAGTGATCACAGCCTTGAAGAAACTGATAATACGATTGTTTGGTGAAACTGAAAGCACGATGTACAAGTCACGTTTTCAGGCATGGGGGCACCTTACAGTTAAACTGGGGTGCTGCGGTGGAGGGCGGAGCTGATAAGCGAGTTTGGCGAAACAGAGGTGGTTTAGCACAGAACGGAACAGGTAAACCAGTTTGGCGCACGATGCTATAAATGGCACAGCTTTTCCCAGTAGGCAGAGAAGTAGCACTATATGCAAAACATATAAAGCACTTTTCAAAAGGTGATCATGAGCAATGATTATTAACAACTCACTTGCCTTTTGACCATACTCCTGAGAGAAGCATTAAAAGAAAAAAAAAATTAGTGCCACAATGAAAGCATTTTAAGCAGCCAAGATCAGAGAGCAAGATTGTAATGTTGTCAGGCAACACAGCAGTATGAGACCCTCACCCACAAGAGCGAGTGTAACACGAGTGTCCAGTATGGTAGCACCATCTTCTTTGCCCTGGCAAGCGTAGACGCCTGCATCACTGGCTTGCACTCGCTCAAAGTGCACAATGCCATTGTCGGAAGGAACCTCTCCCAAGTTGCCATCGGGTAAGACTTTCGACCAGACAATTTGAAGAGCACGAGATGTTCCTGATAAAAAAAAAGAAAAGATGCATGCAACTCAATTCACACTGCATTAAATAAACTTACGAATTAAAGTTATTTCACACAAATATATCAATCTTTAAAAGTGCATGTATGCATCTTTCATTATATTTGAGTGATGTACTGGAAATAAAGTTACTGAAAGTCTAAAGTCCTATGCAATGTGATGTAATCTTCTTGTGGCTTTTCAGGGCTGTGCAAAATCAAGTTCTCTACAGCTTTCTTAACCACATCTTTGATGTCACACCCATTACAAAAAAAAGTGTGGTTGTGAATTGTCTTTCAATATTTATTTTCCTTTTTAAGCTGCCCTTCAAGTTTATAATAACATGTCAGCCAAATATTTTTTCACCACAGTCACATTGCACCTCTTGCATTATAACTACCGAAAGAGTCACTGAAATGAAGCGTGCCAAACCAAAATGCACATTTAGTTGACTATAACTAATAACTTGCTTTATCGTGATGAGTTTCAACAGTAGCAACTGGAACCAGGCATAGCTCACAGTATGCCACAGATATTTATACATTCCCTCACATATTAGGGCATTAAAAAAGATTTACACAAGAAGCAAGGAAAAGTGCTTGCTGAAGATAACCAACCTTCAATGTGGCAGCGAAGTTCTGCGCTTTTCCCAATTGAAGCAGTCACAACTTTATCGTCTGCTACCAGCCTTGGAATGGAGTGTGAATGTCGATTCCCTTCAACTGAAAACATCAAAGAGAGTCGGATTCTTCATTCATGTAACATATAATATGGTGCTCCCCAATTGATTGATATAATTATTTATGATACCTACAGCGCCTGTCTGGGGCATTGAAGTTGGGGGATGTATTAACAGAAATAGAGTTAATACTCAAGCCAATAAAACCCAAGTTTACAAAATCCCCAATCTAATGATCTGTTTAAATTCTTCAGCAGATATCCAGAAAGCTCAGTGTTATCATCAACCTATATTAACAAACTAGCCTGGCCAGCAAACCCAACTTAACAAAGCTTTTACTAGTGCATATTGGATCCTGCTGCAGGCAGTGATGGTTGTTTTTACGATTTTGTGGCACGAATCATCTCCCTTCAACTTTCTAGCTCACACAATCACTTCATGTGTTCTCCACACATCACACAACCCTCTTTTTGGCCACGCAACATGAAAGGCTTCATGTCTGGGCAGCCCTAGCATTGTCTTCAAGGACTTTTCAGATGGACAGGAGTAGACTGGTGGCAATATACTCCAGTACAACGGTCCATGTCCTTCTCTCACTGCTTCTCTGTCTTTATGTGCTGTTATTATGGGAAGTATGTTATACCAACACATCCAAGCAACCATCCTGGTGGCAAGAACGTTCACCTGGTAGATTTTGATTGTTGCTATGTTACAATTTCAGACTTGAATGAGCTAGAAAATCACTTTTTCGACTTTATGAACTTTGCGATTCCACTAAATAATTCAAGCATGCTCATTACCTTGATAGGCCGAGTTTCAACAGTACATAGTAAGGCACAGATGGGTGACGCATAGTTAAAATTGATATATACATTAAAGGGGTACTGGCACCAATTGTCGAAGGACTGTTTACTCTACCAGACAAATCTCCCAATTACGAGCCAGTGTCAAGCTCAGTAAATGCTGATAAGATATTTTAATATGATTTTACAGTCAATTTTCGCGCAGTGCATCGACTGCCACTGACAATATGTGTTCAGGCTACAGAACAAATTCTGGTGACTTCATCTAGCAGTATGGCAAGTTGTGACGACATCAGGTATTTCAAAATGACCAACTGTGCATTATCACCAATGGAGTGACCAAGCGCAGTGGCCAAGCGTACGTCACAACACCTTGTGTGAACAAGTGAGGTGTGGCTCATACCAAGTTTTGATGCCAGGGTACAGTAGGAAATGGAACTACCTTTTAAAACCATACTGTAATTACTTTTTCAGGGTACATTCACACCTACCAGTACATTTTCTAAGCTTTTCAGGGCTTGACCTTTCAAATTTGATGTGAGAAAAAAAAAAGGCAATTGAAACTTTTCATGTCAGTATAGCATTAAAAAAAAGTCAAGCATGTATTGCAAGGAGGAGAAAAAAGTATAAACAATAACTTCCCAGTGGGCTCAGGCTGAGATAAAGTATAATTTTTAATCACTAGGGAATTTAGCATGGAAAACTGAGAATTTTTTTAGGTCACATTTTAATTGTTCATGAAGAAAATTATTATTCAAGAATGAAAATATCGAGACTAAAAAGATATGCCACCGACTCACATGACGAAACACAGTGAGCATAAAACTGATTTTTGCCACAACGAGGGGAGACAAAACCGTGGTCATTGCCAACGTGGCTTGACACATCCACAGTGACTGTGCATTCTGACTTAGTTTTGAAGGACAAGGCAGTGTCGTGAATGCCAGAAAACTTATAAGCGAGTTCTGCAAATGGCACTAATAGGCACGAGGTGTTCCGGTATTTCTGTATTTTTTTTTACGGGATTTCTCCTGACGACTGAGGTGAGATGCACCTCTTCACTTCTGTTGAAACCAAGCACCACTATCTTCTCCAGTCTGTTTTTGAGGCTTTTCATGCTCGCCAAGCGCTGACGGTTATTTGAAATGAAAGGTGTGTGGTTGAATACAAATTGATGAGAGCTTTATGCTACTAAATAATGAAAAAGCCTGCTCACAACAGAAAACAAGTGCAAACAATCGATATGCCGAATTTATGAGGGTCAAGTGAATTAGATAATGCAGTATTTACTCTCCATTTTATCCATAAGACAATAGTGCCAAGATAAAGTAAAACAGGCATGTGGTTTGCTATGTTAGGGCTCATTCTCGTGGAGTTCTGCAAAGACACAGCACGTGGAGCATGCTTATGCCAATGAGAGCCTTTTATTCTGCAATGGAACGATCTATTCAAGCCTATTATGCAATGGTGCTCTCCTTTATACGCATAGTACATGCACCAGTAACTTCAATCCTTTCTTCAGACAGCCCTCCATGATTTGCAGCCTTGCAGACATAGATGCCACTGTCTGAAGGTGCCACACGACGAATGAACAGTGTGGTGGTGCCACCCTGGAGCTCTTCAATGTTGGAGTAAGTGGTTATGGGCTGGCCAATGCGCTCCCAGGTTACTGTAGGCCTTGGATCACCCTCAGCAATGCAGTCCAGGCGGATCTGGTCACCAACCCTCACAGCATAGGGGTTTTGTTGAAGGATGCGCACAAACGGTGACCCTGAAAATATTGGCTATGTTCATCATCTGTACTTCATGTCTCTGTGGCAGAAAAGAAATGCATTCACACGAAGACCACAATATGGGTACGGATTAGTATGTTAGTTTGACAGGATAAGTGGAAAGTGTTTATAGAGCAATAGGCAAAACACTGATAGAGATAGCGATGCATCAGACACGAGTTGGACTCGGCGAGACATTCTGAAGCTAAACAAATGGCATCACGAGGGAGGGGACGAACGAACAGAAGGATGCTACAAGTGCACTTTGTCCTTCTTCCTAGCCCTGTTACAGTTACTTCGTTTACCCTATGAACAAAAAAGGGCTCATCTGGGCCATCTCTTTGGCACACAAGAGTAATTGTTATCTGAATTGCTTGCACTTTGTTTTTCTGAAATTTGGCGTTCCCTACTTGAAGTAACTAGAAGAATAAGAATGGGGTGGAGCACATTTGGCAAGCACTCTCAAATTATGACAGGTAGATTGCCACTATTCCTCAAGAGAAAGGTATATAACAGCTGTATCTTGCCGGTACTTAGCTACGGAGCTACTTTTTGGTTCATTGTTGGCTCCTGCTTGACAACGCAACACAAATGCAGCAATACGTGGTACAGCATGATTGGACAAGCTTTTTGATGATTGAGTCATGTCGGTGTTTTGTCACTGCATTATGTGCTATCAACAGTGTTAAATTGTAAGAAAACTTATTTCACTTTAGCTTTGAGTTTTTTTAGTGTTTGACGAGAACGGACAGCAAGTAGGAGAAAGTTTCGGACTGTGAATGGTTAAAACAATCTTCAGGAAGCTTCAACGAATAAAGCTGTGAACATTGAACATCTTGCTCAAATTTTCTTTGCTGAAAGTTTCTGCACTTTGCTTTCACTGCCAACCAGAGCGCCTTTTGTTATGTCTACCATAGATGGCAAGAAAATCTTCTCATGAAGCTGCCATGCGAGGCGATTTTAAATTTTAATGCTCCTTTCAACTAGCTTTTGTAACTCATACTTAATTACATGAGTTTAAGATTCTCTAATCTATTGCCTAAATGTAAGTATGCACCTGAAACAAAATTTTATACTCACCTTGCAACTTTAGCACTGTTTGTGCAGTAACTTTGCCCATTGCATTTTCAGCAGAACAAACATAAGTTCCTTCCTCATCCTTGGAAAATCTAGTAAACCTGGAAGAAGAAAAACCCTTAAAAAACTGTCAATACTATATACACTGACAAATTCAATGATGACATCCAGCAGTACCAAGTATGCATGCAAAAAGAGTGAAAGCAGTGTTTGGTTTCTGTGAACAAAACAGTGTCTCTGCCCTGCTTGTAGTACAAGAGCTCTCCTAATACCAGACACTTCTTTCACTGATGTGAGGACCTTGGTTCATTTGTTGCTTTGTATGCGTATGTATGAAAAAAGCACAAAATAGGCATAACAAAAAAAAATCTATTTGGCATAAAATGCCCATTGTTATAACTAGTTCTTAGATAAATTCAAAATATTTCAACAAAGAATTGCTGGTAAACTTTTTATAATTTGTATTCGTCCAAGATGCTCAAGTTTAGCAGCCAATAAGACCCTGTTTCGTTCTTTATCCAGAGGCCATGTTCCAAGCAGCCATTGATGTATTAATCGGTTTGACTAATACACTATCTCATGTCAACCGTATCCCATTGACTGCTTGCATTGCACATTTAGTGGAGGGCTCCAGAAACCATCTGGCGTTCTTCAACGTGCACTAGCATCGCACAGTACGTGGACCTCTAGCATTCCGTCTCCATTTAAATGCGACCTTCGGGCCAGCAGCCGAGCACCCTAGCCACTGATCCACCAAGCCAGATGAAGCTTTAAGGTTGTAATACGTGCAAACATAAGTGTTTTGTATTCAAGTATTTGTGTTTGTGTGTATATATATTTGTGTATTCTAACCTTCCAAACCACTGTCTTGTGTGTTCTATATGCCTTGTGTGTTCTATATTTTTTCTTCTGATATAATTCCATTTAAGATATTGGTGAACTGTGAATAATGTAGATTAAAATCTGAATTTCTGAGAATAAAAGTTTGCCAAATAGTGAATTCTGTTAAATACTAATATCCCCTCTCTCAAAAAAGAAATGACTCCGAAAAACACACCCTCAAAATTACGAGAAAAATTATTTCATGAAAAATAAACCCCGAAAACATGGAGTCCTAGTTATAACCAACATTGTACCAGGTCCTGTATTTCCTGCCTTATTATAGTAGTACTTTGTTTCACACTCCAAGAAATTGACCCAATTTCAAACACACACGCCTTTAGGTGTACACCAAACAGAGCAAAAAATAATGCAGCTTGAATGAACATTTCATTTACCACATCTGCTATTTACAGCAGGTAGTAAGATAAGAGCAAGGTATGTACCGAATGATCCCAGGACCTGCCAGTTCAGTGCTGGGAGTGAAAGGACTGCCATCAGCCCGTGTCCATTCCACGGTCGGTGTTGGTATCCCAGCTGTGGGTCTGCACTGCAGAAATGCAGTGTCTCCATGGTGAAGTGGAGGGATGTGCTTGGGGTAGATCTCCACAAGTGGAACCTCCCGACCTAGAAATGAGTATGCCTGCTGGCTCACCTGTTGCACAATCTCATCTTGCCTATTCACTAAGCTACGAAAAGATTGGTAGTTTAATTAGTATGGCATAGCATTTATGTAGAAGTACTTCGATACACTTGCCTGAATATAAAAGAACTTTAGCAAGAGAATACCATAGGCTGAGATTAATTCATTTACTTTGTTTTATTTTATAAAATGTTGGAGTGAAAGATTCTGTAATAAGAAATAGTAATGTTTTCAAAGCAAACTTTCCTCACAAAAATGAGACGCTAGTTGATGCCACATGTTTCTCACAAGAAGGTTGCAGAGATGAAAACCGACTGCTTAGGTTTGACCCAGGTGACAGTTATCAAGTTTATATGGGCCGCACTTCTGAGTACCGTAATACAAGATTAATCCAGAACACGTTGCTTCATAAATAGATCATAATCTCAGCACATAATACCAAAAAAGTTAAGTGATTCCTGTATTACATACTGCACCTTTCATGGTCACTTTCATGATAATTACTGTTTGCCACTTATTAATAAAATAGAAAGCTTGCAATATCACAGTGCTATCGTAAGCTAGAACATTAAAACTGCTCTCTAATTGGGCAACGACAGCACACATAACTAAATTTTCAGGGTACCTGATACATTATTCTAAGATTGTAAGTTCTGCTCCTACCTACACTAAGTTGTTCATTATTTTGTCCACTTTAATAACTTTATTCTGTCGCGCCCCTCCTAGCAACACAACACAGTCACAGTGGTCCACTGTCGGGCACCACACACTGTCCAAATACTGCTGAAAGTCTTAAGCACAATATCAACTGTAAAAAGAAACATCCTTCAAGCTTTTCTAGCATAGTTTTTTTTACTGCGGAGCAATTCTTAGTCGCATTATGTCGCGTTTCGACGTCAGCGGTGGCGTCGTCTACACCCTTACTGTGCATGATAGTGTCTCGCGTCTGGTGCCACATGCTCGCCTCTCGTGCCTGCCCAGGGAGACAACCACAAAACTGCCGCTTCCCTCCGACTCTCTTGCCTTGCAAGGTCGACGCAGGCAACGTCTGCCAGTAAAAGAAAACGACTGATTGTGCTGCACAACCGTTCACTGCCCGCCCCCGTATATGTAGGCACTGGATCGCGCGTTAGGAATTCAGTCAAGGGCTTATTTACTTGGCTTTTGCTTGACGTTAAAGGCAACACTTCTCGTTCTATCAATAAATAAAAATAATAAAAACAAAATAAAAATTGAGCATTCCCAAATCATACCCGACTATGCAACATTCACACGATACTCCCACTACTCTGCATTGTATTTCTTTGAGATCCCCCAATGGAAAGATGCGGTCGGTATTTTTTTGTTTTGTTTTGTTTCGTTTCCTGCTGGTCAAGGCTGACACAACCTATTTGGATCCAAACGAATGAAATGTGGGTAAAAGTTTTGCACTGCAATGAGTTAATTCCTTTATGTTCATGTCATAATTAAAACACTACAGTTAACAAAGACATGGTTGATTCCTTTGTCATATAAATTGGCATTAAACAAAATTATAATGTGTCCTGTAATGAAAAGTGAAATTCGTCACTTTTCATTACAAAATGTGGATGGTGGGCACATTTCATGAAAATAAATGTGTCTACCATCCTCTGAGGCCACAAGTGGAAGGCTTGCTTGTGTTACCTGGACAACACAGTAGTCTTTTCATCAGATTTCCCAATACACTTTGCTCATCTGCAGGGCATTCCTAGGTGCTTAACAACTGCGGCTCCATCACTCAACAAAAAGTGCCAGTTTGCAGCGTGAAAGCTGACCATCTCAAAAAACTGCATTTTCTGTATTCGAATAAGCGTCAAGCTGTTGCCAAATTTTCAAAGCCCACATCCATAGAAACCCTCAGAAGCATCATGAGCCTCTGTTCCTATTTTCGTCACTTTGTGCTTAACCTTAGATCCATCGTCGCACCTTTGAAGAGTCTGCTTACCACCAGCAAAGGTATAGCTGCATGGTCACCTGCATGTGACATGTGATGATGCATTTCGCCAATTGTGCCACCTGCTGACCTCACCACCTATCCTTCACCACTCTTACTCCAGTGTTCCCATGGTGATTCACATCGATGCAAGTGGCATCAGTCTTGGTGCAGTTCCGGCACAATGAAAAGTCACCCAAGGTGAATACATTCATCGAATGCTTTCTAACGAGCGTGGGTTCATTGTTGAATAAATTTTAGTGTGAAAAAAGACCAGACACAAATAGAGGAGAAGACTACATGAGCTGTCACCACCAGCTAGTCTCATTCAGAAAAAACATGAGAACATAAATAAAAGCTCAGTATACCACAAGCACACCTGCGCACACATCGAGTGAGATAGATCGCAAAGGCTAATCATAAACTGTGCTCGAAACTCACTCACCAGCAAGCACACCAACATTTGAGTAACACTCTTTGCGCCTTTCTTTTTTATGTAAAAGGCCTCCAAAAGCTCGCATGTCACTGTATCTCTACTCCTGCCCAGTACCTTCATTTCAGAGAACAGAGGCACACATTCCCACTCTGCGCAGTGCACCAGTAGATGCTCGGTAGATACCCCGAAGACTGCAGCTGTTCCACTTGTTGGCCAAAACTGGTTGAGGCTGCATGTTCGCCAGACTTTTGGAGCGCAAATTCTAAAATGAGGGAAGCTCACTTCATGATCTCAGAACCGGTCAAATTGAATGGCAACAAAGGTTTTTGGGAGCATGGACTAGAGGCTCAGGGCAATGCAACAAGCTAAGCTTTACATGTAAAAATTGCAGGTGTCTTTCAGAAGGAAGCTCCTGAGTAAATGCCAAGCTATGCCTCAGCCGATAGAAAGTGTAACACCTTGCACACGAAACTAAAATCACCGAAATCAGTAAAATCCTGCCTCTTACGAACAACTAAAAAGTCATGAACGCATCTGTACAACTTAATTTTGTCCTGATTAAAAGCCTGCCCTAAGCATCTATTGACAGCTGACAAAAAGATATAGCGCAATATCGGTGCCAAACATGAACCAATGCAGATACCTCGTTTCTGCACATAAAGTTTGCTGTCAAAGGAAACAAGAATAGCACCTAGGTAAAATTTCAACAGAGACAAAGTGTTCAACGCTAATGTCCACTGTGGTCTGAAACAGTATGTCCCCATAGTTTTCAATACACTCCTTAAGGCAAGAAACATTTTTTTATGCGGAATAGAACAAAAGAGCTTTTCCACATCAACAGAGAAGAAAAAACACACTGAATCCTTGTCATGTAGAAATTAAATTACATCAAATGAATTTTTCATAGCAAATGGGTCATCAATAGACGTGTATATTTTAGAAAGCACTACCTAAGAAAAAACTACCAGGATCTCTTCTCACTGTTAATGGATCTAAGTGGCATCCCGTGTTAGTGGGTCTTCGGAGTAAAAAATAAAGACAGACCTTTGCATGCAAAAATGTTCTTTGCTAGCCTGCTCAGTTCAAGCTGGTTGCAACTTTTCACAGTTGAAGGAAAGAGTAAATTTAAGGGCTAGTTATTATTGTTCTCATAAATATTTTGTCTTTCGATGGCTGCAGTTTTTGTCTTTGCTAAGCTGGTTTTCACAGGGATGATATTCTTTGATAAATCTATGGCAGCTTTTTCTTTGAGACAGTCTGACGAGAGAACGAAATTCCCTCCTTTGTCAGCCTGGGGCACAGGCGTTCTTTTCTCTGGTCTACTAGTCGGGCTGTGGGTTCCTTGGTTCGCTGGGCAGTCTTCTTCAAGGTAGCAGTTGAAATACTGTTGACTCCCTCTAGTAGGCACCGTTCCTGTTACTTTTTGTCAGTCTTGTCAGCAACTCTTCTGTTCATAGCAAGCAGTTCATCTGCAGCAATGCTTGGTTCAATGGAGTGCTTTGGCCCCACCTTCAAAACATGCATACATTAAGATGGGACATCTACATCCCCGATGATTACCGGTTCGTGTTGTACTTCATGTCTCTTCTCTTGAAATTTCACCAAATGAGCCAACATGCCGCACCTCGTTTGGGCTAGGGTCACCATCCTACGGCTTGTAAAGAGTTAACAGAACACTACGGACGAACTAGAGGAAAATTCAGCGTGTGTCATGTCTCCCTTCTAACCCAGCCGCTTACACTAGGGGCAAGCGTAAGCAGGGAACGCAGTGTTGCAGCCAGGTGAAGCACGCACATGTTGCCAAGTTATTTTTGGTATGAATAGATGTTGTGAGTGAGGCTGACACCGGCTAAAGTTGCCACTTTTCGGTGCAATAAGGCATTGACGTACTTGCAGTTCTATTGAAAATGCACTGAATTGGATGAATGCATAGCAATGACGCATTCCCAGAGCTAATTGGGGAAACCACGGTCATAATGCATTACTTCGATTCACTGCTCACAGAGGAGGAGACCACTTTGCCGACCAAGAACACTGTGAGAGAAAAGTGCAAGATATAAAAAACGTATTTGTAAAGCTTTCAAAATGTCTGGCCATGGCGTAGTGGATAGCATGCCCGGCATCTGATGTCACAGGATGAGCGGTGATTGGTTCAACTGTAGGTGATGAAACTTTTTTTTTGCCATTTCATTGTGAAAATTTTTGACAGAAATACATCACTGAAGTGTTGGTGGACCCCCAGCATAAAACAATTTCGTGTTAAACTGCACATGATGTCCCCTATGCCTTTCTTGGCGTCATTAGTTTACACCTAAAATATAAACTAGCCATTGATTCATTCTTCTTCTTTCATTTTTTTGATTAGTCACTCATGCAGCTGATATTCTAGGCATTCGTACAAGAGAAGAAAATACAGGCAGCTTGGTTTGTGGTGGCATTCCAAAGACCAACTAGACAAGGACAGTAAAATGTATCATTTATAATCTACGGTATGCCAGTAGATGTCATGGAAAGTGAAGCTTAAGGGGAGATTCAAGTTGATAAATGCAAGTTTTTTTTTCTAAAATACATACTTTTCATTTTTATATGCTTTCACAAGTTTAGTGTCTTTAATTTCATGAAAAAAATACTGAATATTGAATTAAACTCTAAATAGCTTTAAATCACTTTTAAAAAGCACAAGGTGGGTACTGAAAACAAAAGAGAGCTCATTGTTTAGGGTCCCCTGGAAATTTTCACGTGGCTGCTTGTCTTTGCATTTTGCATGAGGAGTCAACCAAAGCCACATGATCAAAATAACCATAATTTCCAAGCTCCCATGATGGCAAAAAATTATTTAAAAAAAAGATACCTCCTCCACATAGATGAGCTTTCACTTAATTATACCTTAAAATGCATTTTGCTTAATTTTTGGGCAACTTCTTGAGTTTGGACATCACGTTTTTGGTACTTCTAACAACTTGATCAGGATGAAATTTTGTTGTACCCAACGATAAAATGTACCTACATATTTCTAAACAAGTGAAGGGTGCAAGTATTTTTTTAAAACTTTATATTACTGATATAATTATTATGAGCTCAAAGTAAACAATTAGTATAGGCTGAGCATTCTAAGAATTCTCCCATTACAATATTTTTTTGTGCATTAAAATGTCTTATACACACTTTTTTATAGTTCTTTGCATTCTACACTTCATGTACAGCAATATGAGCCATCAATGGCTCAGAACCATAAAAGTTTAGTGGCCTAAAAAGTTTGTACGATATGAACTATTTTACACATTGTCATGGCATGGAACAAAAACTGTGCAGCTTACTATAAATCTAATTACATTTTAAAATCAGCATAAAAGCTTATATATACAGCAAAATTTCATTGCCCTAGGCTTCAAATTAACGGAACTTTTTTTGTCAAATCGAATTTCCCCTTAAGCCTCAAATGCTTATTAAAGAAAAAGGAGAAAAAGCACGGCTTGGGATGTGTCCACACAACATTTTTAGAACTGACTATTTCAAATGCCCAATTTTTTTCTCTCTCACACACACACACACACACACACATATATATATATGGGCCATAGGAGGTATCCCACAGGCCCTGATACTGTAGAAAAGCATTAGAGACACAATGAATGTTCTAGAGCAGTTTACTCCGACATTTCAGCCATAAAACTGGCCTTCGTCTGGAGATATATAAGTTACCATTTGTCAAAAAAAATACACATTGCATTAAACAAGCCGCTGTGAATTATTTAAAATAGCATTACATATGCTTCAGAAGTTATCGTAATGGCAAAATGACATCAGATAATCAATGTCTCAGAATTTGTCTCAGGTAGTCGCAAACTTTCTTTTGGGCATGCTGTGAAATGTGCATAGGATTGATGATCATATATGGCCAAAGGCTTCAAAATTGAATAATTGTCAATTAGTAAAAAAAATGCAAGCTTACGATCCACTTCGAGCACAGCAGTGGCTCGAGCTATGCCTTCTCTGTTTTCTGCCAAGCAGATGTAGTGACCACGATCTTGGACAACGGTTTGTTCAATTGTCAGAATGTCATCTTCAACCTGAAAATAGCAGTGCAAGTAAGGCAAGAGTCCTAAGCTCAACACAAACTGAAAGAGTGCAAACCTTAAATGGGCCTTGCAACACTTTTTCAAGTGACCATGGAATGAATTCAATAAAGGAGCTTATTGCTTCACTAATTCACCGCCACAAAACATTTTAGAATCTGTCCAGTACGAGTGGAGTCACAAAGACTTGTTGCATGCTGCAACTGCATTCTCTCTTCTCTCATCACGACGAAAGCATAGGAAGCTAAGCAGGGAGAGATGGCATGAGGAACTAAAAACGTCATACGCACCTTGTGGCCCTGAGCACTTTCTCTCTTTTTTTTCGTTCGAATACGCAGCTTTTCACTGCGATTGCATGCACAGTGTGGACAATTTGCGGTCTCTCGCGGTGGGCTTAGTAACTATTGAGCGTGCCATGCTCAAATCAGGCAATGGCTGATAGAATGGCTGTGAGGAGTCATTTTTTAGCTTGTTCTGTCATTTTCAGACAGAAGAGAAAGTCATTTTTAGCTGACTTTTCAAGTTTATTGTGAATTCCAGGGCATGTGCTGTGCTATAACATTTGGCTTGTGTGTTCTTGGGAGCTTCAACTACCGATAGTCAGCGTTTTTTGACAATGCTCAAAAGTGTTGCAGGGCCCCTTTAAATTTCTTATTCAGGTCAGCCTGACAGAAAAGCTATGAATCAAATAAGCTTGTGCCACCACATCACACCACATTTCAAGCTAACCCGATGAACATACCTTTTCACACATTTATCACTGCATAGAGAGCAGGAGAGATTACTCTGGGCCCTGTCCGCATTTTGTTCAGTGTCCTTCCTCGTACTTGCATTTTTTTCATGCCTTAAAATCAATTTTTTGCCTACGGGAAACACACTAACCAATTAACCTCAGAGGCACTGTGTAGAGCTCTCCATAATGCTGCCTCTGCGAAGAACCCGGCATGTTTCAACATAAAATAGGAGGCTACAGACAGTTTCCTCTAAATATCCACCCACCCTCACCTCACCAAAAGGATTTGGGACAGTGTCTTGGCCTGCTCCAGCCTGAAGATTGGTTACCAGAAACATGGCCCGAGCTCAGGACATCTTAGACAGAGGATGCCTATCAAAAGCTACATTCCTGGAATAAAAGAGTATATTTTCCCCTCTCTCAAACAATTACTATTAGCTCCGAGAAGTTGAAGTGGTGCCGCCTGGTGGGAGGCTTGCATGACGTCACGGCATGGACTCTTCGAATCTTGCTGTGGCGTGCGTATACATAACACGCGCTCACTTCATACGCCGTTGTACTGCCAGCGTTCACGTTTTCCTTGTATCACATTTAAAATAAATGCCGAAAACATCATCGATGATGTTCCTGGTAAAACAATAAAAAACTAAACATTTTTCTTTTTTAAGTAGTATCGCCAATGGTGCTTGTTATGCTGTCGCCCTGCTTACCTTGAAGATAGGTTCGGCTCTTGAATACGGCAGATGCGCTCTGACGGGAGTGAACAGCAAGACAATGCATGTTCAGCAGGTTCAAAAATGCGAGGTGGCCACAATATTACTCTACAGCATGCCTTGCAATCATGTCGCGGTTTTTAAAAGTATACGACGACGTACTTGCGTTTCAGGTTGCGTTGTTCACGGGCGATTGCTTTAGAAAGATATGATTGTTTCGCTTCCCCAATTCGTATTTGTACTGGACGCATCGTAGTAACTGCTGGGAGCATTTTTTTTTCCTGTGGGCGTGTGTTTAAGTTAGTATAGAGGGTCGCAAAATATCTCAAATGCATGCGCCCGAGAATACCACCGCAGCTGTTGTGTAATATTTTCTTATGTGTACTTGCTCATATTTCATCATGTTATTTAGCTTCATGTTTTTGTGAATAATTTTGGCACTCTGTTTCATTACAAAGACAAATGAGGATTAATTGTAGAAACTGCTACTGATTTCAGATAGTGCCTATGTGCAACATCCTAGCAAATGTGCTGTCAAGCTTGTAAGTACCAGTTAAGATAGCCACCAGATAAATAAATTTTTCCCACGGTTGATTACCCCAGAGCAGCATCAATCTGTATATGAACATGACAGGTGAGACTTATCATTGCTTCATTGAGGCAAATGACGTATCATTATCGCATGGACCACATACGAAGCCAAGTGTGCCATCGAAACAGTTCATTTCGACTTTTTGGTGTTTGTTTTGCAAACGATTGCTATCAGCAGTGCTCCTACATGAAGTGAACATTACCGTTTATGACGTGGTGGTAGATGGAGTCAGCTGTTCACGTAAATCAGGGTATGCGACTACATAATCCTGGTGACTGTTGAGAAAAAATTTGTGCATGAGATCCGAGTATACCGACTTCTACGAATTCAGAAAACCATAGTGTGGGTCACAGCATTACTTTTTTTTCTCACTATTATAAGTGATTGTGTATGACAGACAAATTCATATGATGTGCCCTGCATCCTAAAACGGCATTCTGTCAAATTACCTACATTATTTGCAGAGACAGACATATCTTGCACGGTAAATTGCAATGAAGTAAGCAAAACAAGAGCATTCTAATTTCATTTGTAATACTTCGACACAAATGTTTAATCGTGTAGCCTATGCCAAGATGTAATGAAGTAAGGCTTATTTAGCGCAAATATTTTCATAGAATTGATTTCGTCGAGTACGTGCATAGTGAAAACAACTAATGTCTCGCTGTTCTGCACCTTCATTTTCAAAATGAATCCATACTTTCTGCAGATTAGTCAACTTTTAACAGCAATAAATACATTTACTTTGTACCTTTAGAGACTTGCTACTCGAAATTGAGAAGAAATCACCAACGTATCGCTGAAGAGCGGGTACACGACGGGCTCAGAAAGAAGAGACCGTCGGCACGCGTCGCCGGCGGAGCAGGCGAGTCCTTGCTGTGACGTCACTTAGCCGCGACTGCAGCGATGCCATTGTTCATTCTCGGGGCTAATACAGTCGAGCTGACATATAAACGATATCTGTGTGAGCGTAAAAATATACATTGTTCCAATGGCACAAAATCGCACAACGAACGCCTCTGAGCGCCGCCGCCAATAGGTTATACAAAACGGAGTCAGCGCTCCTGCGACTTTCTAAGAAACCACTTTTGACCACTGATAAGTGATCAGCGAGAAGCCCATAGATTCCTATTGTTAAACGCCCACCCTGCCTCCACAGTTCTTCAGTTGTCGCTCCCCCTTTTATTTTACACAGCCCTTTGTTCCCCTGCTGCTCTTGGCCTTCCCCATAACCAGACGAGGCCTGTTTTCACACTGCCACCAATCTTTCGAGGATCGATTGCCTGACTAAACTCCCCTCATTCGCTGAACTTGTTACACCACCGTTAGTGTAGTCAACCTGGAGTGACCAGACCATCTGCCGACATCGTTGGCCGCAGACTGTACTCGATCCGCATCTGTGTCTTGTCTGGATTGATGTCGTATCGTTCCAGTTATAGAGTACACGTATTTCAAAGGAGTACGGCCACTAGCATGGGTCCGATCTTAGTGAGGCACAGGGTCGCATTAACTATCCCCTCTGCACATGCACGTTCGGACAGCCACGGCGCTAAGCGCAGCGTGGCAAGCACACGGTACTCCTCCCAACAGGTCGCAACACTTTATTGACTGCAGCAACACCAAAACACAGTACATAACCCGTTGCAAAAGGGGCGGTGGGAGAGCAAAAAGGCTTATCCATGCCACAGGCAAGAAGTACTACGCAGGATGCCATGAGCATGTCTCCGTGGACAAAAGTGATTCACGCTGACATGCCGCTGAGGACAAACGAGCCCTCCCGACTAAGTTGCGTTGTTCTCACGATCCAAGACAACAGGACCTGATCGCTCGAATGAGGACAAATTTCACTCGTGTTGGCTTCGAGAGAAAAGGGTTGGTGCATTAGGACGATGCGCAAATACAGCCCACTGCTCTTCTGCCTAGCGTTCGAAAGGTGCAACGAAAGGTGAGCATTTGCCGCGGGTGTAAGGCGCCGTTGGCGAAGTCTGAACGAGCCCCAAAACAAAAGGAGCTGACAGATGGGAAAGAAATGCGTGCTCACCCTACGTTGTCCCAGAGAGGTTCTGGCTCACTCCTGACGCGCGCACGCGAAATGTCCCGAGAGATTCTGCACGCGGAGCCACAGTCGACATCCCGGTGGAAGGTATCAATGTCACTTCCACTCCCCCAGAGCCGACCGACGTGGAAGAGGGGAGAGCCATGTTAAAACAGAAGGACAGCAGAAATAGGAGACAAAGCTCGGGCACTGACCACGGGCTAGCCTCGATTCCCACAGAGAGCAAGCGCTTGCGCTACTCCTCTGACTTTGATTATTTGCGATTCATTGCATGTGTAGGGCCTGTAACGCTTGCCTTGCACTCCCCTCGGTATGCCCTCCGCAGGCATGCAGAAGCGTAAAAACGGCTATTACATGGAACGAATCGCAAATTATGGAAGTAGGTGGAGCCGCACAAGTACATCAGCATAACATTGAGATTCTTTGACCACTGCGCTTGCAGGCTACTCTCCCAAGTTTTTCTATGTGCGAGTTGCGTCTTCCGTAGACCTTTCAAGCAAGCTCCCCTACCTCCCTTTTTCTCAGTTTTTGGTTTTCAAGGTCACTTTCCTGTCATATGCTTCCCTCTTTTTGCTCTATCACAACTCTTCCGCCTGTCTCGACCGCTCCACGACGCCACCTCGAATTAAAAGGACCCTGAAATGGTTTTTCGAAGTTTTGTCAGAGTTTAGGCTAGAGCATCATCAAATCATTGACACTACAAATTCAGTGACACGTTGTGTACCAAGGCCACTACAGGCCATTATATTATACCCTTCTTCTCACCTCTGCCCAGCCTCTTTTAACTCATGAGGCACGCTGGCAATCACATAGCTCTTATCAGCCCACTTGACAATTTGAGCTTTTACCAGTCTAGGCCTCCGCAATCGCACGCCAACAGGTTGCACTTGGTCATGCAGGCTATCAAGCAGTGGGCCCGGCAGCATGCACGCAGTCTGGCAACAGAGACAAAGATCGCAGAGTGGCTCATATCTGCTGCGACAGGCGACGCCATTCTACCAGTCGATCTTACTTCCGCGCATTCTACAGCTCATGACAAGCAATCAAGTCAGTGGCCACGGTGATGTCAAGAGTATTTTACTCTGTGAACAGATGATTGAAAACGCGTTTGTCCGAGTCGAACCGATCTGCAGTAATTCGCAGCTTTAAGCCGTTGTAAAAAATTACACAGTTTATGCAGAGAGCTCAAATCAATCTTTAAATGACCCTTGGTACTTGGTCTACCGGTCCAATGTAGTTGTACAAAATTACCAAAATCATTTCAGGGTTCCTTTAAGAAGTTTCTTTTTCCGGCTAGAAATGAGCTCAGAGCAGTTCCATGCATCACAACTTGTAGATCGTGCGTGTGTGTCTTGCTCGTTGTTGGTGTGCGTGTGTGGTCAGAATGACAAACGGCAGGCCTTCTGCACCTTTTTCTGCCGCTCAACACATCGAAAGTGTGACCGCACGACTTATTAAAGCTGCAACATTGTGTAGTGCTCGCTCATAGCTGTTGACTGCCCGGCAGCCAACTTGCCACTTTGTTTATTCAGCTGTGTAGATGGTGAAGGCTTCATCGGCTATGTGCGTGCGAAACTGTTTTCGCAAGCTCGACTTATTCAACATTGAACCCAACATTGAACCCAAACAGGACTACTCTGGTGGTGATTTGTGGCAGCATGTCGTCGACTCTGACATGGGAGACTGGGAAATCATCTGGGTCGATTTCATTATGGCTGATAATAATTCCAACACTGCAAAACCATGCACAAACGAGGGCATTGTGAATTAAGTGCATGGCAAGAGCGATTTGGAGGAATCGAATGATGACGATGAAACTTTGGAGCTAGTGTCTGTAGTGTTTCGGTTTTGATTTCATGGTTGCCATATTCGGTTTCATGTAAAGTATTTTCGCCCTCAGGGAGCGCTACCCTGTGTATATATGCGCGGCGCTGTATATAATAAAGGAGTTTCTGCTTGGCTACCGGCTGCTGCGTACCTCGTGTCGGCCGGCCCTTCAGTGCCGCGCCCCGTTTTCTCCGTGCGACGGACGCGCCGCAGGATACTACATTTTGGCGATGAAGATCTTCAATCCACGTGCATCACGCGTCAACATGGCATTCAGCCTTTTTCCTTGTGCTGACTCAACACCAGTGCAAGCTGTCCCACCGGCACTGTATTTTCTGCATACAATCCTACTTTTCGACACTTTTCATGCCAGTCCAGTCACGAGGCCTACCGACGTGCGCGTCTCTCCTGAACTGCCTTTTGAGCGCTCTCTTTGGCAAGCATGAACGCGGCTATCCCTCTGCCTCCCTTCATTCAGTGCCCAGGTGTACCGCCTATTCCATGGAGGTAGTGGCGTCCTTTGTTACAGGTCTACATCAACGTCACTGCAAGGGATGCCACGCCAGAGCACAAGAAGGCGCTGCTCCTGAACGCCTTCGGCGTCAAAGGACTCAACACCTACCTGCGTGCCGTCGAAGATGAGCAGCAGACGGGAGCCGACCGGCCAACTCAGACGACGACGCCGGACGTGTTCAACGCAGCTCTTGCGCTGCTTAATGAACTATTTTACCCGCAGCCAGACCTGGCATGTCTGCACGCCCACTTCAAAGCCCTGCGCCAGGACCCAGACCAGTCAGCGGTAGAATTTATTAAAAAGTATGCCGAGCAGCCGAGCTGTGTGAATTCGACGCGACGGGCGATATTCTCGCCTTCGACCAGATCATCTCTGGCATCGCGTCATCACACCTCGAAAGAAAAGTTACTCATGTGCCGTTAATCATTGTATAAGAATCTTAGAGCCACATGTGCTTTTCTTTCTAGGGGGGATGATGTTGTGTTTTGATTTCATGGTTGCCAGATTCGGTTTCATGTATTTTCGCCCTCAGTGGGCACTACCCTGTGTATATATGGGCGGCATTGTATATAATAAAAGAGTTTCTGCTTAGCTACTGGCTGCTGCGTACCTCGTGTCGGCCAGTGCTTCAGCGCCGTTCCCTGTGTTCTCCGTGCGGCTCGTCTGCCGCACAATATTACAGTGCCCACAAGTGTGCCTGTAGCAATTGGCTACATTAGTAGCTTCAGGCAGCTTGTAATGTCAATAGCCCTCAGTGATTAGCACGCTGCCACTTTAACTCGAGATCATCCTTATCCCTTTTGCTTTTTAGAACATGTACATTACAAACTATTCTTGTGAGAAATAAAATTGTGTTTTCACTAGCAACATTTTTAAAGCTGTTTTTCTAAGGATTTACTACAAACTTGGAGATACAGTGAACAAAAGCCATGTCATGATCAGGTTTGTTATAAGGCAGCTCGACTGTACTAACCTACACTAATGTTCCCAATGCTTTTATTAGCTTTCTTGTCTGTTAGTTATAATATGATAAGACGCACATTAGTGGGGGTTATTGAATTGATCTACATAACTTCAGATTTTTTTTAACATGCACTTATAAACTGAAACACACAAGATCTCTTTTTTTTTTCTTCGTAATTCTTCCACTGAAAAGAGGCCGCTGCAGCTGGGAGAAAACCCAGGACCTCCACCTTAGCCGCGAAACACTACAGCCACTAAGTGACAGTGGCAGGTGAGAACACATTGGTTGCTCTGGAAGCTTCCATGGTCTATTCTGCAGCGAGGGTGGATATGAACAAATTATAAAGCTAATAAATGTAATACCTGAAAACAGGCAGTATGTATGCATAACAAAAGCAATGCGCTTACGATGTGCCTATGAGTGAGATTGCTTCCAACTTTTGCAAACTTGATCACAGGTGTGGGTGTTCCTGTTGCTATGCAACGCAACTTTGCATCTTCTCCCTGGCGCACCGTCTGTCTCTCAGGTTCAATGTGCACTGAAGGAATGTTCCTTCCTGCAACAGTTGTCAGGTAAACAAGACACCATCATAAAGCTTGTGTAGAAATACCTCATCTCACACTACACAAAAGAAGAAGGGGTTATTTTTCTCTGTTAGATACAACATTATTCAGACACTCCAGCCAAAGAAAATATGGGGGATCTTCTTTGTACTTTGGGCGTCACAGGTAATGTCTCTGCCGGTAGCAAGTTATCTTTTCGTCCACTTCAACTTTTTTTCATTTCTCCTCATTCGCATCTACTTATTTGTACTACACACATAGTTTTTCACCGAAATTACGACTGCACTGAAAACAAAGAAACACATAGACAACACATAGAGCACCCGTCCTCTCTATGCGTTTCTGCATTTGTAGTGCAGTTCGAATTTTCAAATCGAAACTGACTATTGAATTCAAACATGCACCATCTAGGCCAACAGCGAGTACTAGTATAATCTAGAGCCACATAAAATATTTCATATCCTATTTATTTCATATTTTATTTGACATAGTAAGTATCTACCCATTTGCCACAGAGCTTTTTATTGTGGGAGGCACAAACCTCCATAAAATGAATTGCAGTGTTGTTGCTAACCAAATCAGGTCGTAAAATATTTCATTCACAAACTGCTTTTGGGGAAAAATGTTTGAAAAGACCCTTCCTGGTTTCTAACATTGAACCTTGAATTTGTGATACAAATGGAAAAACAGACAGTTGAGTGTTTTTATATTATATGAAGCACTGATACCCGTTTCTTTGCTATAGACTAAATAGAAAAGTTTCAGTTGAAGATTACAACTGAAGTCTTTTACAGATTGCTATTTATGTCCTCTCGTTATGTCTCGGAGGCTTTCCAATCAATCATGTCTCCCCATCTATCTCTGACAGACTAAATGTGTCTATAGGTACCTTGCAACTTGAAAGATGTGGTTCAGGATAAAGATTGATAAAAACAAAAACAAAAAACAACAAAAAGAATGTGAACTCAGAACTAAGTTTAGTTTCCTGAAGCATTCACAATATAAAGACTTCTGGAAGTCTTGTGCAGAACTATTTTATGCACTGCACATGCAGGAAAAAACAGACAAGGCATCAAATGCAGATCACAACGACAGTATCCGAGAAACAGCAAAAACAAATAGATATAACATAAAAGCTTAAAAAAGAAAAACCAAATCTGCGCACAGTTCAGGCCACTTCGAGCATGTGGAAAAAAACACAATAAATATTTACATGCACTTCGTAACAAAGCCATCTAAAGAATATCTAGATTCAACAGTTCGCATTCGCCATTGTGAAACAAATCTGACGACACGCTGATGCAATACTCTAGCTTCCCTGCATGAGCAGTGAGTGAAATAAGTGTCTTTTTCTTCTATTTCTTCCCTCCTCCTCCAGAAAAAGTTATAAGCAGGCATTGTACCCCTCCAGGTGCCAGCTTGCTCTCTCCCTCTTTCCTCTGTGTCCTTCTGTATCAGTGTATGCAAATCAAGTAAATAATATGTCCTCCAAGAGCCTTTATATTGTGAATGCTTCAGGAAAATAAACTTCATTGTGAGTTGGTGATATGTTTTTCTTAGTAATTTATTTTAACCTTGCACCACGTCTTTCAAGGAGCGATGCACCAACTGGCCCAACACAGTGTATACTACTATTATAAGTTTACCTTGTGAATCAGATTCCAATATGAACCTGCACAGGCACAGTGTAGTTGTGAAATGGGTATAGTATCCCGTCTCTTTGGCTTCTAATTGGCTTGTGTTTAATTACAGCATTGTTGTAAAAAGCCAAAGAGTCCTGCTAACAAAGTCTAATTTGTTCAGACCATGCCCAACCTCACAAAATGTAAAGCCCAAATTACTTGAGTCCTCTTCTCTAATACGCTCAAGCCTCGACACAGAAAACATATATTTGACAAATATTAATTATAACAAAGTAAATGAAGAATAGTATTTCCATAGACATAGTGTTAAATATACCAGTATAACACACTTTTGAATATAACATATTGTGAGCATATTATGTGTAAGATGCAACTTTGTTATAATGAGGTCCGAGTGTAACTAGCTTTTTTGATTGCTGTATGACAGTCTGGCAGCCACTAGTGAAAAAAATCACACACACAAGATAGTCAAGACACAGGTGCTAATGTCGTTCGTGTGTGTGTGTGTTTGGTTTTTACTTGCAGCAGGATGTTATACAGCAAGCAATACACCAGGCCAACAAAAAATTAGCAAGTAGCTTTTTTTTAAGGTGTACTAAAAAATGAACCTAAGCCTTTTTTTATAAAACTGACATGAACACGTTTATTAGTATTTAGTACCCAGTCATTATTCTTACACCATACATATTGCTATGTGCCACAGGTAAGATCATCTTGAAGCTGTGAGGCATCTGTCTGGTCAATCAAGTTACTGTGTGAAAAACACAACCATAAGCAAACAATCTAATGCTTTTGTTTGCATCCAAATTATAATCTTTATGCACAAAAGAGACAAGGGGAGCTCATACGAAACCCTAGGGTACACCTCATGGCACCAAGGCTAAGCATGAACATGATCCCCTCAGTCACCTGCAGTTTCCTGGATGTAAAATAGTCTGCAAGCCATCTGCAAACGGTTTGGTCAATGTTTAAATGCTGGAAATTTTGAATAAGGACCGAGTGTGATACCACAGCAAACACCCTTTGGATTTAGATGAACAATCAATCCATCCTCAATCATCCAAAGTTGATGCCATATCATAATAGCATTAAAATAATAGGGTTCTAAATGAAAAACCTTTTATAAATCAACATTGTGAAGGATTGAAAAAAAGAAAAGAAAGAAAACATAGTTTGGTGACTTCTTAAAGAGACGCTAAAGGCAAATGTTAAGTCGATGTTGACTGCTGAAATAGCAGTCCAGGAACCTTGTAGTGTTAGTTTTGTGCCAAGGAAGTGCTTATTTTTTAAAAATAGTATTGTTTTAATAATGCAAGTCATGTTAGCGCACTTCAAATCACCTGTGCCTGACCTGAAAGCAATCTTTCAGATGTCACTGTTACCATTGCCCAACGTTGCTCGCCTTCGCTACACGACGGTCGACACCAGTAGCAGCAGAGCGAAAGTAGCGGGAGCCACAGTAGCAACAATGGCCATTGAACTAATTTCTGCAATCTCGAAGGCCATGATTTTGCCTCCTTTGTTCAACTTGGCCCCACTAAATGGCACCACCTACCCAGCCTAACCAGCCAAAAACTGAACTTTTTGAACTACTCGCCACATTCCCCACAGTAACAACAGGCAGTCCTTTTTGCTATAAATCAAACAGGAACTGAGAAGCAGCATTTTATTATGTCTTTTAATGCATGGTAAGTTCATTTTTATCGTAGCCAGTTTGATTACTAGTGGTTAATAGCAAGCGGATACTCTCATGTCATTGAGATCATTTTGCAAATGTCCCACTCGTAGTGCATTTCGTGTGATACATTTAGCTTGATTTCTCGGTAAGTAGGGCACTGTTGTAGATAATATTGCCGTTTTAGATGTTGTCATACATTGAACGTCTAGTCTGACATAAATTGTCCTTTGCCTTTGGTGTCCCTTCAAGGCATAACACCGAGCATGCTCAAGTTGTTTGGAACAAATCAGCGTCAGAGAAACAGGCCCGTAATTGGACACATTTGATTTAGAATCACTTTATAAACAGGTACAGCATTAGCTATCTTCCAGTCATTAGAAACTTCATGTAGTGACTCTTTAGATATAGCATAATGTGTTACTGTCCTGAACAATGTTTTACAACTCTCGGTGATATGCTTTCCAGCCCGGCTGCTCTACTTTCATTTCACAATTTCCATTAAATTAAAGCTCCCTCTGGCTAAAGGGCAACCAGTGCTCTTTTCCATCTTCGAGCACAGCTTGTGTAGAAGGGCAAAAAAACTGATTTAAAGAAGTTGTTGAAAAGTGTGGCTTTATTGCTTAACAGTCATGCCACCATCATATAGATTCTGAAAAAGAGTGACTACTTGGGCTGGTTAGTATTAGATTTTTAAAAGAAATATACTGTTAGTGTGCAGGGAACATTTCAGAAAGAAGACAAGCCAAAGCCGAAATTGGTTGAGCCAAAGTTGAAATTGTCTGCCATTCCTTATATGCACTAAGTTTTGCACTGCTAAAAAAGAATTGTTTAAAAAACTGAGAGAAGGTTGTCTTCACGGAAAAAAAAAACAAGCAAGGCTGCCTATGTAAAAGAGTTAACTACGAAGGATCTTCAAGTGTCGGTTGCAATAAGAAGCATGCAAAAATGTTCGTGGAATGTGCCATAGGTGTTGAGTATCTTAGTTATTTATCATGTGGTCAATACTACATCAGTCAAACTGGGCGCTGTCTGAACATATGGCCTTAGGGAGCACGCAAATCCTAAGCGGGGATCAGTGGGCAGCCACCTGGCAAGTCACTGTGCCAATTGTGGGTGCACCCCGAAGTTTGATGAATGCCATGTAATAGCAAGACATAAGGACAAAAGGGCATGTGAAATACATGAAGTGTTTTTGATTCACAAAGCAGAGACTGTGTAAGTGCCTCGTATGTCAATATGTTGGACAATGAATGAACGTATCTTTTCAGTTAAAATTTTTATTTCAAGATTTGAATAATATGTTCTGGCGCATGTGCCATCATTTATTCTGTTTTCCTGTGTGTCATCTCCTCGCCCTCTTGGCTGTGTATATATATTCCCACCATCTGTGCAATGAAATGGTTGTAAGTGTGCACTCTGTTCTATCTGTCTTCTTTCTGGAAAGTTCCCTGCACACTAAGAAAGTATATATTTTTTTAAAACTCATATAGATTCAACAGACTTACTTTCTCGCCATCATATAGTTTCATATTAACTTCTTTTTATAAGGAAAGGCAGTGGCCAAGCCCTTAAAATACTTTTTCCTAACACCTCTCAATTTAATTTTATAAAGTGTCACAATGCTGTTCATATTACCAAAGTTACATGAGGATTTAGTTTGGCAGTATGCAGTGAAAGCTGTCTTGTGCTTTTTGATAAGATTAGTTTATAAAATGTTCATTAAGCTATGGCTTCTTTCTCTTGCTCAACTCATACCTCAAGACACTCTAAATGTGGTGCCGAATGAGGTGGGTAATGCACTCTCTAAACACCAACAACAGTTGTTCGATCGTTAGCCCGTCTGCTCTACATTCAAACGACAGAAAGTGATGCTTTAGTTGCGCTAATATTTTATGACTTGGATTTTGTTTCTTACTGCTAAAGACAGAATGACTGAATTCTCGATAGACAAGTGGACAGGACTAGAAACAAGAGCAACTTGACAAAATGTTGCAAACATGCTGTACACTGATGAACATTAACAGCGAAAAACAGAGCCTTTGAACTGGAATAAATCATGAATAAACTGAAAGCATACTTGTTGTTAGCTGCAAAGGTGCCTGGCCTTGTGCTGTTCCATAATGATTGCTTGCGACACACATGTAGCTTCCTTGGTTCTGTTCGTCAACATTCAGCATAGTCAGCCTGCCTCCCACCTAGAGGAAAAAATGCACACTCATAAAAAGTGCAGTGCCACCTAGGCTTGTTTGCCCCGGTGCAGCAACTGAATTAGGACAGGTATCTTATGTGGAGAATACAGTGAGATAGCAGAACTTGATCTTGTCTGCTGAAATGATTTGAAATCCTGCAAGTGCCTTTGTATGGAGGAGATATGGAATGATATTCCGCCTCTGTATAAATCTCATTTCTTCACAAGGCTCCCTTTTTTTTTTTATGTAACTTGCGCTCGTCCGATCACCCACTCTTTCCTCCATTCCTTGGGGCCTTAAGCTCTTTGCTAACATTGTCTCGCTATCTTGTCTGCAGTCACATCACACCACGAGTCTACCTTATTTCGTTTTGTCATTAAATTCAACTATAATTGCAGACCTGGAGAGATACCAGTCATCCCTCTGTGCTGAGTGACCAGGCCAATCCAGGCTTACAATAATACAAACAATATTGTGGTATGTTACATGTAGGGTAATATTAGAGAGGACACTGTGTCAGAATACTGTCTCTATTCAGTCTTGAAGAAAAAAACGGCCTGTCATGTGTCTTTCTATACATGCTTTCAGCTGCTTCACTGTCACAAAAGGTTGGTGCACATCGGCGACTAGCAGCGGTCGCGCGACCATTTACACTGGTGACCAAATTGCGAGTGACGTTCACACCGGCAAAGTTGTATACGAGTGACCGGAAGTCACAAACCAGGAGAGTCACGTCCGCATCTCGTTATCACCGAGAATTCTGGCGACTGGCGTCGATCAGCTGATCACCGCCAGCTGAGTGAGGGGAGCAAACTGAGCGCGCCACATTTATGGTTTTTGTCCGTTCTCACACATCAAACTCCTTGACACTGCTGGGAATGCACAGTAACGTCAAGGAGTTTGATTCAAGCCAAGAACAAGAGATTGTCAAGGCGCTGATGCGCTATGCCGTGGTGTCAGCGCTGGCCGCACACAAGCCTCCAAAGAAAAAAGCTGGTGGTGGATGTGACCGTCCCTTCGCTCGCGAGAGTTGGCCGGCCATGCAAGCCGCCCACCTCCCAAGCTGTGCTGAAACGACGAAGAGTATGTTCGAGAGTGGTACGTATTCAAAAATGATCCTTGAATTTAACTTGACTTGCCACAGCCTACAATACAGCAAAAACGCGTCTCGAACGCGGTGTCTTTAGTCGGTGCTAAGGCATGAAGTGCAAAGGCCTTCCAAACGCGCTGCATGAAGGCAGTGACAAGTAAAGTTCAAGACAAAAAACAATTATGAATACAGGAGAAAGATAGTGAACAATTCATTTTCTCTTTATTTTGACGGTGTTTAGCTTCTTGCGAATGCCGCCACGTATATTTGACACTTTGCTCGAGCTGCTGCGTTCCACCCTCTACAAGCCAAGTACTCCGTGGTGGCCATGGTGCCACAGACCCAGAGGAACGCACTCGCTTGTATATGGCAGCAGAAGGCCAGCGCAATGAAAAAAAAAATAGAAAATGAGCCTGGATATAAAGAAATGCTGGTGTCACTTCTGGGAATCGCTGACTCATTCCAGCAGCTTTGCGACTGCAGTCACGTGACTGAAAACCAATCAGGAAGCAACTAGTCAAAGCAGTCACTTTGCGACCATTTGCGACCAGTTGAAAATGTTCGTCACCTGCTGCTAGCCGACGGTGTGAACCAACCAAAAAGCTCCTGTCTTTTTAACATGTTCTGCAAAAATTATGAGGTATTTGTGTTGTGTTTATACACATCTTTTACATGCAGATGCATAATATCAAAAGTACTATATATATTATTACAGGTTCATCACGTGAACAAAGGGAGCATACTCCAGGTCGAAGAAACTGTTTATTCGGGTCGAACTTGTGGCCGCGCAAAAGGAAAGTAAGACACTGGCACTGATAGCGATGAACAGAGCATCAGCGGTCGACCAATTGACAAGCGGCGAATTGTGCCGGCATTTATACCCTTGCCATCGAATATTCTAGTGTTATCGCTAGCGGTGACATAGGTTCCCAAATAATCTGTGACGTTCCCGAAGTGGGCGTAATTTTAACAAAATGATCTACTAAAGCCTCAAAGCTTCTCGAACATCGTAGGCGCGGTTTGTGCTGAATGTAGTGTAACGAGGTGATAACAAAACTTGAGGAAAGGAATGTGGCATTGCCCCCTCTGAAAAAGGCATCATCCCGATGTTTTAACAAAAGACGAAGGTACAATATAAAGACTATAAACGATAAGTACAAGCAATAAAGCATAGCAACAACAACAAAATACAGTCCTCAGGTTCTCGCATAGAATGGCTTGAGGCGCACGCAGTGGTCTGGCGTTTTCGTCTGTTATTATGAGATGCTTCGCGACTGCGGCCTGGCAGATTTTCAATGACAACACAAAGCAGTCCTTGTTTTGCAGGAGAAGGGCCTTGAGCTGTTCTTGCTTATGCTTCGGAAGGCTCGGATTGACGTCGAAAGATGGGCGAGGAGCCTCAATCTACGGAGTAGGTTCTGTAGAATCGGCGAGGGCGAAAGTATCGGTGACCTCCATAATTTCGTCGATGTAGCCGACCGTTGTACCTTTGTTACCGTGTTTGTACTCATTGCTGAAATTCGTGAGCATAACTGTTTCTTTTCTTCCCCGTAGCTCAGTGACTCCTCTTGCAACACAAATATTGCGGTTGAGCAATAGGTGCTGATTGCCTTTAACGACTCCTTCGAAGTCTTCCGGTTTTGGGGTGCCGCCAGAAATGATGACGCTTGAGCGAGGAGGAACTGTGACTTCTTGCAGCACATTCAGGGCATGGCTTCTTGATGGCATGCATGGCGCTAGTGCTTTTTCTGGGGATAGTGTTATCAACTTTGCTCTCAGGTCCATGATCACACCGTGGAGGTTCAGGAAGTCCATTCCAAAAATAACGTCTCTCGAGCAATACTGCAGTACGACAAAGCTTGCGGAATAAATGCGGCTGTTAATGGTCCCCCTGGCTGCGCAGACTCCTGCTGGTGTCACTAGGTGACCTCCGGCTGTACAAATCTCCGGGCCTTCCTAAGCGGTCCTAACTTTCTTCAACTTCACGGCGAAAGTCCCACTGATGACGGAATAGTCGGCTCTAATGTGGACGAGAGCGGTGATGCTGCGGCCGTCGATGAGAATGTCAAGGTCGCTAGTTCCTCGCCTGGCGTAGCACTTTAGTCGCGTCGTCGGATCACAGCTAGGACGGTTTGCTTTGCTGCTTCCACGTTGCATCGTGACGTCTTCTGCAGGCTGTGAAGGTTCGATGTCAAGACCCTTTTTGTCTTGCGGCAGGTGTTTCGATTTCGTGGCGGCAGCGTCATCATTGGCGGTGGAGAATCTTCGGTAGTTCGTTGTAGAGCAACCGCACATTCATTGGTTGCTGCCCTTAGTTTTCCGGGTAAGGACTAGGAGATAGGCCTTGAACAGAGCCAGTGTACTGTCCGCGGTGCGATGAAGCGTAGCAGCCTGGTGACGGCAAACGATAAGGTCGTCGGGGTGTCGACTACGCTCCCGCAAGGTAGTCAGCGATGTCATGCGGTCGTTCACCTCGTAGGCACGGCGCATTGATATCGAAGCCCCGTAGGCCCGTCTGTTCGTACTGGCAACCGCGGTAGGTGTGCCCAGCCTCGCCGCAGTGGTAGCAGAGCGGGCGTTTGCCAGGTGTCCACCAATTGTAGGTTTTTCTTCGCGCACTGCGCTGGCCCGCTGGCAAACGGTGGGATGTCGGTTGTGGTGGTGGTGGCGTCTGGCAACGGAAGTGCGACAGGGTGGCGTTTTGGCGTGGGCGTGGAGGAGGGGAGTGACGGCGGGCTGCAGCGGCATAGATCATGGCTTGTGGCTCAGGCTGCGCTGGTTCGGGTGTCCGGAAAAATTGCTGGACTTCCTGGCGTACATCGTCGGCGATCGGGTCGACGGGATGCTGTGAAACCAGCAACAATTTACGCAGCTCTTCCCGTACGATCGCTCGGATCATTTCACGTATGTCGTCGGAGCCGAGGGCGTGAACAGCTGTGCTGTCTTGCACCGATCGGCGATCATACTGGCGGATGCGCATTTCTAAAGTCTTCTCAATCGTCGTGGCCTCCGAGACAAACTCTTGAATGGTTTCTTTGGATTTCGCACCAACCCAGCGAAGAGGTCGTGCTTTACGTCTTGCGTGAGCAAACAGACTTTCTTCTCCTCGGACATGCTGAGGTCAGCGTAGCGGAAGAGGCAGGTCATTTCTTCAGTGAAAATGGTGACATTTTCATTGGGCAGCTGCACTCGGGTCTCCAGCAATGCAGCGGCCTTCTCTTTGCGAGCGACGCTCGCGAACGTTTGTAGGAATACGCCGCAGAAAAGATCCCACGTGTGAAGGGCAGATTCCCTATTCTCAAACCAGGTTCTTGGCGCATCTTCCAGATAAAAGTAGACGCGTTAAAGCTTCTGTTCCGCATCCCAGTGATTGAGGGCGGCCACTCGGTCGTAGGTGTCTAGCCAGGTCTCTGGGACTTCGAACAATGATCTACGGGAAATAGATAGTTTCCTTGGCTACTGTATCATGATCGCAGGCTGTGGCACAGCAGTTATCATTGCCGCAATCGAGGTCATAGCCTTGGTCTTCTGAGTCTTGTATTGCAGAGGCCCGTACTCTGGAGACAAACCCTGCTGCCTGCGGCTTGTTCGGTGCAAAGTCATTTGCACCGAACAAGCCTCCTCGAGTCTTGCATCCTCGTGTCTTGCACATAGGCCACATTTAGGTTTAACAATTAGCGAGTAGGTGGCACAATGCTTGTGCGAGTTCACCATCATCATCATCATCATCATTATGGTTAGCACGGCAGTACTAGCAGCTAGCAGGGCTGAGGCACTGAGGCTTGGTGAGCACATGGAAAAAGGAGCAAGTCTCTGGCATTGGAGCGGCACTCATCATGCACGTCTCCTGTGGCGGGTCCGTGGGAGACGGCGCCGCAGGTTCCCGCGAGCCCTTTGTGGCGAGTCAAACATTGGCACTACCGACTTTGCATGACTTTGTGTTATGTTGATTGAGTGTATTGTAATATTGTATAAGGTACGTTTTAGCATGTCACTAGTGGTGCATTTGATTCAGCTGGCGATATCGTCGTTCAGAAAAGTAGTTGAATGAATTAACACAATGTTTGGTTTGTTTCAACGGCATCCTCTGTCTCCGCATGCTAGGTGAGCAGCGTTCTCGTTCGAGACCCCACAAGTTGAAATGTTATTTACTTCACAAGCTTACTTAAGTAACATTGGAGCAGTGGAAAACTAAGTAAATAATTTCGTTACGTAGCTCTGTAGATGCAAAATATAATAAAGTAAAAATGTATGCATGCTCAGCCTTTTTTGTGAAAAGAAAAAATCCTGTAATTCAGTTCATATTTTAAATTATCTAAAAGATTTGGTATGACGAAATTTCTAGGCACAAAAAAATTAGAATAAGAAAAGACTGAACCAGTGCCAACAAAAATGCCACTAGTCCTAGCACTAAATTCTGTTCTACCTTGTCTTTTTCTGTCTCTAAATTTTTTCAGACACTGCACAAACTAGCTCAAGAACGCATTTTAGCAGTCATTTAGTATTTATAGATATTTTTTCATAGTAGCGCATACAGACCTGCCACAATTACTGCAGATTTTTTTTTTTTTCACCTCAGAAAGTCAAGGTTCAATTGTGAGTGGGTGTGTAACTAAATTTTGAATATACCACCAAGATTTAATTGAGAGAAATAACCTTTGATTAGCCCTCCTATACATTTGTTTGCATTAGCCAGTCTCAATAACAACATGAAATCTTTTGATGTCACAGAGAAAGGTACATTTAGGGGCAACCTAACTTGCAAAGCCTTTTAGGAATGCTTTGTGCAGACAACCTTCTCAGCGTGACGTCAAGCGAGCCTCTACCTGCCATAGTTGAGCCTAAAAAGTGACTTTTCTTGGTGCCAAGTATTTCATGTGCATTAAAGCTTCTTGAATACCTATTTGTACGAGCAGTGTAAGTTCTTAAATGGCATAAAAAGACCCACTCACTTACACAAGGAATAGTATGGAAGCTCTTTTTTTTAAAACAAGTGATTTATTCCTGTTTATATTAAAGAAAAGAGGGAGCAGAGAAGAGAGATGTTTTTTATTTACACTGACACAGGGTAAAAAACATGTTATCTGAAACTGCAATGCCACCCAAATACTGAGGCTGTGTGTACTGCCCTGGGCTATACATAAATTTTATTTAGATCCTGAGAAAACTTTAATGAAAGAAAAAGCCAAACAGACCCATCTTTTCCGCATATGTTTCACTTTCACGAACACTTTTGCTCAGCCTCAGAAATACGCACATGCTAAAGTAATGCAATGCCCACCAGAAGAGCTGCCCTCAAAGGGGCCCAGAAACACTTTTTCAAGTAACCATGGAATGAATTCAGTGGAAGAGCTTAATGCTTCAAGAATTCAATGCCGCAAAAATTTTAAGAATCCGTCTAGTACGAGCGAAGTTACTAAAATTTGTTGCACGTTGCAATCGCATTTTCTCTTCTCTCGTCCAGACGTAAGCACTAAAAGCTAAGTAGGGATAAGTGGCAGGGCCAAATAAAAACGTCAAGCGCGGCTCGTGACTTTGAGTACTTTTTTCTTTTTCTTTTTCTTTGAATGCATTACATTTTTAGTGTGATCGCGCGCGCACGCGTAGGCAAGTGGCAGCCTCTCGTGGCGATCTCTGTAATGACCGAGTGTGCCATGTTCAAATCAGTCAATGGCTGATAGATGGACTTTTTATGAGTAATTTTTTTAGCATATTCAGTGATTTGTCGAGAGAAGAGAAAGCCATCTTTAGCTTACTATAAAAATTTATTGTGAATTCCAGGCCGTGTGCAACACTAACATTTGGCTCGCGTGTTTTCAGGAGCATCTACTACCGATCGGCAGTGTTTTCCGACCTTTGATTTTTACCTTTAATTAGGGTAAAACTAACCTGGTTCACGTTGTCTGGCATTGGGCCACCAGAAAATGACCATGTGATGTTTGGTGTTGGCCGACCCGAGGCTCGGCATTCTAAGTGTACAGTCTCTCCTTTCCTGGCCTCGATGCTTGTCGGTTGAATGGTAAGATGGGGCCCCTCTCCAGCACCTGAGTCATCTTCGGAAACAATGGCGGCCATTGTTTCTTTTTAAGAAGGTTAGTGAAGAAAGAGTTATAGCAGGTGGTTTCACAGTCACAGAGAAAGGTACGAAGTCTTTCACTTAGTTGATTAACTAGTGCTGTCCTGCACGACTTAGTTATGCCTTAGACTTGCAGTAAAGATACAGGTGCCACAAAATGCTAACGGAACATGCAAGCAGTAGCCAAACCACGACTTAGTGTGCTACCAGCAGCAATGTGTACTACATGAAATGCACACAAATAAGTTGCACTGGCCATGCAATATAATTTTACTAACTTCTTTATCAGCAGCTCTTGCCATGGAGCGCTTCTTCAATGGTCAATGCTAGAAAAGGCTTCTGAGCTTGCCACAACTACAGTAGACTCTCGTTAATCCTAACCTCAAGGAACCAAGAAAATGACTTCCGTTTAATAGGAGCTTTGTTTACTGAGAAATGAATAAGGGTGTAGAATCCAAGTATGAAATTATTCATGCTGTAATAAGTTATAAGGGTACTTGCTTGGGTGAGCTGGTAGCTATTCATTGTTACATTGGTTCGTACTGCTTAAGAGACGAAGACTTGGAATAAAGGACAAAATGGGCACATTGTGTCCATCTAGTCCTTCATTCTAAGAGTTTAGTCTTTAAGCTGTGCACAATAACATAAGAAAGTGATAAGTTGTTCCATTTAAGCAGCAGTTTTATTTACAATTAATTAACTGTATTATTAATCAGAGGAAGTAGCTCTTGTCAGAAGCATATGCTTGATAATAGGAACTTGTTTTTGGGCGAGTACTCAACATTGAGATTTTTGCACTAAATAGACAAACACATATGAGAAGACAGGACGTGCCTGTCCTGTCTTCTCACATGTGTTCGTCTTTTTTAGCAAAAAAATCACAACACATGCGCAGTGCCTGCTAACTTCTGATGTTCGTTATAGTGGGAATACAAAGACTGCCATTGTGGCCACAGTTTCACAGAAAAAAAAATAGGTTAACTTTTTTCTTTTAACTCTCTTTGTGAGGAAGCTAAATAAAAAATATTGCACCATGACACCGGCAACCACTGTTTTCATTAACGACACAAAAAGTAAGTGGTTGCTGCCAGCACCTAAACGTTCCCCTAGCATTGACAGCTGGAACAAGTGCTTCTTCCCCTCAGCTTTTATATAGAGAGAATTTTAAAAATATATTGAAAGGCTCCACGTATATTGCTAGCACAAGACATATAGCTTGTGACACTACAGCTGTGCAGAAAGATGCAGATCGGCCACTGCTCTCGTATTCTGCTTGCTTTACCGGTCACCTGTACATAGTAGTATGGTGTAAACTGCAGCTAACAGCAAACACCTTATATCCTAAAAGTGGCATAAATAGCTGCAAAGCATAGAGCTCTACTATATAAAAAAGAAAAGGTTCGTGCATGCAATGCAAGTAATGAAGGTATCAAAGAAAAAGAATCTAGACAACTACTTGCACTGAGAAACTAAAACAAATAAAGTACATACATATAACCTCTCATTAACTTTTCATTCACAGAGTGAGCAGGCTGATAAAAATGAACACTGCCTGTCACTGCAGTGCATGCATCCTTGCGTTGCAGTTAGTGCTCTGGCAGTATGCGAGTGTTTCATCCACGCATACTGCGTGATGAGCGCGCACAGTTCGAGTGAATACGCATCTCTTCCAGCCAGTATGTAGGCTCACATACACTGCTAGAGCAAATAAAGACAGAACTCTGAAGATTAAGTCCCAAGTATTATCACAGTGAAATGAACATGAAAAGATTTGCTTGTAAAAACTGACACAGGTCTTTATTTTTAGAGCAAGGGATGAATGCTCCTGAAATGCATATTTTATGCACAAGAATATAGACAGAACAATCAAAGAAAAGAGTGTGCTACAGCCAAAGATGAGCTAATTTACTGCTGTTGCACATTAACAAGAAAATAATTTGTGGTTCTAGATTAACTTTTCATCATGGTATAGAATGACATACTTATGCATTTATATCTTATCACTCTGAGAATTCAGATTAGCTAGGTGGACAAAGCTGTTTACACAGAAATAAAATTAAGTGCAGAAACATTACTGTATATTGTCAGCAATAACATTGTGAGCTTTTAGCATGCACATATAAGAAAACAGTACGGCTGTCAAAGCTTTAATACTGTAAAATCTTCTATATTTGAGTGTGCTTAATTTATGTGAATCCACTAAATGCAAAATGTAGAAAAAAAGTGCATCACTTGAACCTCAATATAATGAATTATCGGTTATAAGAAAGGTAGTGAAAAATCATGTTGTATAAATAGTGTTAAATGTTATAACAAACTTTTGAATAGTATAATGAAGTATTTTCACAGCAGATGCGAGTTTATTATAACGAGGTACGAGTGTTAAATATATTTGGGGAAGAAATGTGAACACTATGATGATGCGTGCCTTGGATAGGAAACAGGAAATGCTCAACAAGCAATGATTGATAAACAGATTGCTGCAGTGAAAGGTAAAAAAACCACTTTTTTTTTTATAAAACAAAGTTATCAGAAAAAAAAGCTTTCAGGGCCATAATAAGCCACATAGCTGAAATTCATACTCATCAAGTTTAGTAGCTGTGCCCAAAGCTTGCAATGCTCGCAAAATTGGTACTCAGAAATCATACTTTTAAAGAGCACAGCATTCAAGCACAGACTGCTGTGAATGATATGATGAAAAATAAATAAAAACTGTAGTCTACCAAAAAACTAAGCAACAAGAAATACTACTAGATTTACTGCACCAAAATAAATCAACGAAAATAATTTTTAAAATTTTTGTGACGATGAAGAAATACAGTGGGTGAAATTCTTTTATTAAATGTACTACACGAGGAGACGGTTCAATCTGCCGATACTGCAAATTAAAACTAACATGATTTGTGGGGTTTAACATCCCGAAACCACCACATGATTATCAGAGACGCCGTAGTGGAAGGTGCCGGAAATTTCGATCACCTGGTGTTCTTTAACGTGCACCCAATTCTGAGCACACGAGCCTACAGCATTTTACCCTCCATCGAAAATACAGCCGCCGCAGCTCAGATTCCATCCCGAGACCTGCGGATCGTTAGCCGAGCAGCTTAGCAACTAGACCACCACGGTGGGGCTGCAAATTAAAACTACTTACCATATTTATTAGAATATAAGGCGGTCACGATTAAAAGGCGAGGGGGGAGTTGAAGGAGCGAGGAAAAGGAGAAAAAAGCTTGCACACTAATATAAGGAGAGAGTTCTTGCCAAAAACGTTATTTGACATCCCACCTTCTATGGGAAAATAATCCGTGTAACCACATAATCACGAGCTGTCATCATCTGAAGTATCACTGCTTTCCTTGTCACTGTCGCATTTCCAAGTTCACTATCTTCAGTGCCATCCAGCGAGTTGGAAACAGAGCACTTTTTAAAAGAATCTGCCACTATTTCATTCGGTATGGCTGCCCAAGCATCGGTTATCTATCGAGCTACTGCAGACAAAGATGCACGCTTCAAACGGCTTAAATGTGCAAAAGCACAATCGTCAGAGGCAATCATCACATTGTAGAGGTGTCTCGTATGGTTTTAAAAGTAGTGACTATGGTGACAAGGCTCATCACCGTAGTGTAATGATAAAAATAAGGGGGCACGTTGCAGTAAATTTGTAGTCGTTTTTACTGCCACCGTCTAGCTGTTCCAGTGTCGTAGTGGGTTGACGTGCAGTTGGGAAAGCGGTCGTGCCGCAAGTCGTCGGTTAAAATTCCCGTTTTGTTTTTTTTTTCCCTTTTTTTTTAGGGTAATCCATAAAATCGATGTTACTGCTTTAAGTAGTCGCAATTTTGCATTTTTACAAGCAAATCATGTCGGTGTTTGTGCCGGTTGTTAGACAGCCCTACCGCATTGATTTTTAAAGACACAGTGGGTACGTTGTTGGTTTACATATACGTTGTTGGTTTGCAACATGTACGCTGTTGATGAGTGAGTGAGTAAGATAGCTGTATTAGGTCCAAAATAGACGCGAGTAGCTCAGTGTCACCTAGCTAGGCCCACTCGGGGACCTCGCGCGGGCCTTTTGGATGGCCAGGATTTGAGAGGTGAGGTTTTGTGCAAATTCAGTTCGAATCGTGAGGGCCAACTAAACTTTTCTCCTTATTTTCTGCATTCAATATTGTTTCAAGTAATGATGCCTATTTTAAAAAGGGAGTCGTGTTGGGCAACATCCTACAGTGAAATGATGGGAGGAGCCGCTGGCGGGCGAAAACCTGGACAATCAGCTGAGTCTAAGTTCTCGCTGATGAATCCGGCTCGCTGAGTGGCAGCCACCAACCTAGTCTGTTAACGTGCAGAACGATGGGCGTAAGCCCATATGTTCCCTTTGTACAGCAACACGAAAAATACGTGGTACAGATTGATTTGGGAACATCACATTACGTGTAACAAACTATTATTTGAGAACACCACATTATGTGTATTAAAACTATTAGTTGGAGCTACGGTGTGAATGGAAAGGGACAGAAACACCGCCGAGTGTGGTTGTTCGATGTGATAATAAAGTTAATTTGCACGCATACAACGGAATCTGCTCACCCAGCGCAGTATCAATCTGAAATCATCGGGGAAGAACTTCATTCAACGTTGGACATAAAAAGAGGTTGGTAGTTATATCCCCGATGAATAAAAATGATTATCATTTAAAAACAAGCAACAATATTCAAAACAATACTGAGAGAAGAAAATAATTATAAAAAAAAGCGTGATTCGAATAGAAGATGTACACCAACGACACTGCCCCACAAGATTCATATGATAGGGCTGTCTAACAACCGCCTCAGACAGCGAGACAATTTTCTTGCAGAAAAGCGAACTTACAAATCTTTGAGAGCAGTAACGTCAATCTTGACGCATTACCTTGAAAAAAAGAAAAAGTAAATCAAAAAACGGGAATTCAAAATGACGACCTGCGGATTGATCACTTCACCAACTACGCGTCAACCCGCTACATCACCA